CAGGATAGTCAATGTTTACATTCAGCTTTTCACATTTCTTTAGATGCCAAGTTTAAACATCTTCATTTTGTAATTAGTCTATGCTCGTGCTACCTTTATTTTCAATGTACTGTTTAAGAATGATTTAATTTATTGGTACTGTTAGTGATATGCTTAAGCTCAGGAAATATATGGCTATTTAAAAAATCTGTATAGAACTTAATTTGAAAGAGTACTGGAAGTGCAGAGTCATATATGTTATTTTATTTACGAATTTTTCTCCAAACTCAGATTGCATAAGGGTGTTGCTGACATGACAGGGTATGTAGCTGGCCATTGGCTGGCTTATACACAAGTGTCTGTAATGTAGGTGTATGATTGGTAATATGATTGCTAGTCTCATCTTGATTTAGGTTGTGAGGTACATTACCCATATTTAAGATGTCTGGAAAGAGGAAATTTTTAACATTTCTTTTACTTTTATTATTATTTGCCTATTATTATGTCTGATGGGTTTACAGAGTGTTCTTATTACACTCGTGGATCGAGAATAACTTCACAGGAATGCATCATAATATTTGAATCATTGGAGAACAGCATTTACCTCATGCAGTCCCATGATATTAACACTAACATATCCTTCCATAATGCAGGGGCATGCTTTAATACTGTGATGAAATTGGCTGTCAAGAAATATAGTGAAATGTTGGATGTATCATTTTGCATTTCTTTTAAGTTATGTTTGAACACATCTTTTAATTTCACTCCATAAAATTTTGCACCTTTTCCCTTTACTGAGAGCAGAGTGTGACTGAATTGTGACTGTTTTTTTAACATAAATGCTTCTTAGTATAGTAGTTGTAAATACAATACCATTAATTTTTTAAAATGTAATATGTAACCTGATATTTAGATTTCATAAAAATTTAATTTCTGGTTACATCTGAATTATCATTAATAGGTTGCTTACATTCTGGATGCTAGGCCTTGCTTTCATATGCAGCACAGGTTTTGCTCTCTTTAACGACAATATAATGTGTAACCTAAACTATGTCTATAGAAATGTTAGTATCCTGTACAGATGATATAAAGATTTTCAGATTGTATAGAAATCTCATTCATATTTTTTAATATAAAATTCACTAATTTCTGTGAAGAATACTGTCTTCTGGGATGTGACACTGTATAGTCTGGTAGAAGTTCAACATACTGCTTCTATCTTCAGGGTGAGAGAGTAAGCCCTGTAGGCAGCAAGCAGAGTGTATGGCTTGCTGCCTGCAAGTGGATGCAGCAAGTTACTCTGAAGTGTGAGTATGCTTCTACCAGACTACACAGCATCATATACCAAAAGATAGTTCTCTTCACAGTTGCAACCTTGAGATTCTCAGATCTCACATAGTAGAGTCTCTGTTCTGCTTCGTTTTGTTAATGTATGTAGCTCATCAGAAAATTGAATTTAAAGTCAGGAAAAGCTGCAAGTTATGTATGCCCTTCAGAATACTCCAGTTCAGAAACAAATAAATATCACGGAAGTACCATCTGATCACTCTGCATAATGTAATTCATGTCTTTGTAGAGTACAGTACCAGGAAGAACAAAGGTCAAGGAGCAGAACAGCTTGATATATGAGACTTGTAGTGTCAGAACTGTTGGAATAAGATGAAAGTCCCTTTGAAATTACATGCTATACTATTAATTTCATTAGTGCATAATGTTGCACATTTGCATATAATACAATTCAAAAATTCAGTTTAGTAATTTTTCTTGACAATTTGAAGTTTAAGGTTTTCTGTCCCCCTCTCTTCTTTGAAGTGCATGAAAGTCGCTTGATGCTCGATTTATATATTTTCTATGCCAGGGGATTTAACTAAAACCGTACATTTCATCCCAGTTGTGGTAAGCATTGTATAAGAGGGAATTATAATTAAAATTCCTTAAGCTTATCTTACAGAACTAAAATTTTTATTTCATGAAAGAGAAAGAGGCCATGAATATTAAAGCATTCCAGAATGTAGAAGTGAAATTATACACAACTTTGCCTGTTGTGATTAATATATTGTTCGTGAGACTCTTGGGTACTGTAGTAAGAAGAAAATATCGCTGTTTAAATGTAATATATTTTGAAGTACTGTAATGGCATATTCTTAAATATGAGAAATGGAAATTAAGATATGTTGAAAATTCATGGCATGGCTATATTTCTATCATATTCCTAGCCTTGTATACATTTTGTCAGAGGAAGAGTATAACGACGGGGAGATGTGAATAGAATGTATAAAGCCTGCTACTGTGCTGAATTCTAGTCCTAATAGTTCTGTGGTTTTAATGTTTTATTTAGATAATGTAATATATACAGTTTCATCAGTGTAGTATTTATGACATAGCATCAAGTATATTTTCAGTATTATTTTTTTTTATTGCTATTGGGGTGGGACTAAGTCCCTTGTACTGCGGCCACTTCTACCCTGTTGTACAGCCCCAGATGATAGGTGAGGTTGATTGTGGAGCAACTGGTGGAATGAAGCTTGGCAGGGGAAACCGAAATACTCAGAGAAAACCTGCCCCAGTGCCACTTTGTCCACCACAAATCTCACTTGACTGAACCCGGGATTGAACCTGGGCCACCGCTGTTGGAAGCCAGTGGCGTGGCCTATATTTACAGTCTATCTCCATACCAAATTTCACATGCCTAGCCCCAGTGGTTTGTTAGTTACCACCATTAAACCTAAAATAAATGTAGATTTCATGACGCTGACATTTTTTTTTTTTTGTTGTTTTACACCTGCAAAAAGAAATTATCTAACAAAATATGTATATTTTTTGCCAGTCTACTTCAGTAATTTGAAGATCCTAGATTATGAAGCACTCAAGACCATATGTAGTTGTTGAGAATTGGCAGCTTAAGAGTGACACCAGGTGTTATCTGTTCTTCCAGTTCAACAGTTGTATGGGGGTTGTTTTGCACACATTTTCTTTCATATATCCACATAGAAAGTAATCACAGCAGTTAAAATTGCGAGAGTACAGTGGGAAAGGCTGTGCATAAAAATAATATTCTGGAAAGTGATTCAAAATAACATAGTTGCCAAAATTCTTATTGAGGGCGTCCAAAATTGAATTTGCTGCATGCAATGAAGCCACATCATGTTGCAAAAACATTTCCTCAAATTGGACAGCAGTGACTTGCAAAAATAGGAGTCTTCCTAAGTAATCTCCTGAGGTCATCTTATGATTAAAAAATTTACCACTTGTGGCCACATGTTCTCCCAAGCCTACAATGCAAATTATCAATAGAATTATTTATCTGTGTCAGGTATTTCAGTCCATCTGTTCAGTTTAAAGTGAAACATTTTTTTTTTTAACTGACCCCACATTTACAAACTGCAGTATAAGTTATGACGTCTGTAACTCATGAAGATAAAATGATGATTATATCTGGCAGACATTTACCAGTAGACTTATTTCAGCATGAAAGATGGGAAATAAAGAAATCATTTAGGGGCGAAATTTGTTAGTAATATATGTAATAGGCATGGATGGAGTGAATTTCTTAATGTTCAACATCTTTAATGTATTTAGAAATATAATTTGTCCACTGGCATAGAAAGAAAGCTAGGTTATTACATCACCAGATACTAATGCTTTTTTTACATCTTGCATGTTCACCAAACACATTAAGCTTTCTGTTTTAGAACACTGCATGTGTGTTGACCACAATGATTACTATATGTACCTGTTGCTGTAACACTGAGAAACTCTGTATTTCTCAGAATAAACATTATTTATTTCCCTAAACAGCATAGACTGATTGGTCTTTGTAATGGAGACAGTGTTTTATCTGAGGTAGGACCTGAATTTTTAAATATAATTTGATGAGTTTCAGGTTTTAGGGGGTTATGGAACAACCTCCTCTGAAGCTGTTGTTTTTAAATAGTAAAATATTGTAACCAAGTCTGAGAATTACATTTTCTTTGTGCTAGTTGGTGTAAAAGAAAATGGAAACTTGCTATCTGGTATCTCAGGTTGTAAATCATTAACGTTTACCCATGATGTGAGGTAATGTTTTCCAGTATATCAGGTGCACATTCCTGTCCCTTTCAATTTTTGAAGAAAAAGTTTATTTTATTTCCATAGTAGCTTATAAGTTCTGTTGTTGAAAAGCCATGAGTAGTAAAGATATGGCAGATCCATTTATTTCCCTGTTTCCCTCAAAGACCAAACAGGCCAGTGCTTATAAGCAAGATATTTTAAGGATAAAGTACAGAAGATTAACCTGATAAAGTATCTCCAAGTAAGGTTTCTTGAGCAGTAACCATAATTGAGAGAAAACATGAAATGTGAAGAGAATGTTGAGCAGTTTGAGCCAAGACTGTAAAATGAATCCTAATTACAGCATAGCCTGAATTAGGAACCTTAAATTGAGCTCATTGGCAGCAGTCCATTCTTGAACTGGAATATAGTTTTTTTTTCCTCCATAAATACAGGTTATTACTAAACTTTAAACATAATTTTAATGGATTATGTTTCCTCAGAGATTTAGTAGTTACTAAAATAAAAAATATTAAACTGCTATTGGCAGTTCTAAAATATATTAAGATTATCTGTTGTTGGAAATACTTTTCAGGTAATATTTGTATTAAATCTTTTGGTTCAAATTTGTTGAAGTTTCATTTAGAGCTTGAAATTTGGCCAATGTGCTGCAATGTTAAGATGAATAAAATATTATAAATATGAATCAGAAAATACTGGACTGTGGCAGCACCACAAAATAAAGGTAATTGTCGTTTTTTTAAGTTGGTATGCACCATTATGCATACTGGCAAACTTGTCAAAAGCCAAAAGCTGCATGGCACAGTTCATTTCAACTCTGAAGCTAAAGCTGTATGCAAGCAAAGATGGTTTTATAAAAAGAGGGCCAGTAATAACAACAACAACAACAACAACAATAATAATAAGAATACATTTATTTGTTTATTTATGTGCTGATCTGTATGTATGAAATGGTGTTATGTCTGCGTTAGGTTTATGTGGCAACTGGATTGAGATTGCATATGGCACCAGCTCAGGCACAGTTCGGGTTATTGTGCAGCACCCTGAAACAGTGGGCCATGGGCCACAGCTATTCCAGACATTTACTGTTCACCAGAGCCCAGTCACCAAAGTAAGATGTAGCTATTTCAGACTGCTATTTCAGCTATTTCCACATCCTCCATACATTTTCTTGGTGTGGCGCTTAACACATGGAAGATTGTGTGAAATTAAATTTGTTCCAACATATTACAGTTGCTGGGACATGACACTGTAGTTTGGAAAATAGGTACTGGTGTTTCAGAGGAACCCATTACCTATAGCTTCAGAGTAGAAATTGGTACCTGCTCTCCAGACTACAGAGTGTCACATTCTATAAATCATGATCCTCATATTCGCCGTTATGAAAATTTCATATCTCCTCTCTCTCACTCTGTTTTTTTTTGTGCTTCTTGTTGTGTTGTTATATACAGTTCTTTATTTGAGTCCGTCATATCACAACAACATAATGGTCAAGGTTAAAATTACCCTAGCTACATGTTTCGGCTTTTAAAGCCATCACGGCAAAACACATGATTACTATATTCACACACTACTGAACTGCAATTTCATTGTGATAGTAAAGCTGGATGCTTGATAACTGTTACATTATAAAATGCATGGCATAAAAATTCAGAGGATTATAAACTTATTATAAAACGAAAGTTATGGAGTAAAATATGGTTAAAAAGTCTTCATGTGATATTGCATATCATTAAGTCAGTTGTTGCAATCTTGTTATATCCCCGCGGACATATGGCGGTATATTCTAGACTTGTATACATATAGTAAACTGCTTGGAGTCCTATGGTATAGATGTAGTATTATTTGACATTAATTGTTTGGCCAGTGCCTCATCTGACAATGTATTTTGTCTGTTCTGCTGCGAATACAGATTGCAATTTAATCTTGACCATTATGTTATTGTGTTACAGCGGACTCCAATAAAGAATTGTAAATTTCATATCTCCTGTTTCAACAGGACTTTGTCTGATAGAAACGTGGAAAGAGGTGTGTAAAACTTTTTGAATTGTTACAGGTGACATTATCAGAGAAGTTCCTTGTGTCTGTGTGCAGTGAATATAACCATGTTCGCACGTGGAGTGTAACTAGGTTCCGAGGAATGATCTCAACACAACCAGGTTCCACGCCCGTTGCATCTTTCAAGATTGTCTCTCTTGATGAGGTGGAACCTTATATCAGTTATGCAGCTGGAAATGATTGTGGTGAGTTATTATTTATTTTTAAATTACTGTGGTCAGAGTTCCTGGCTACAGATCCAGAGGTCCAAGTTCGATTCCTGGCGCTACCAGATTTTCTGAGAAGTAGTGGGTCTGGAATGGGGTCGACTCAGCCTCGTGAGGATAATTGAGGAGTTGTTTCAAGGAAATAGCAGCTCCGGTCTAGTAAACCGAAATTAACAGCCATGGGGATTCATTGCGCTGACCAGGCGACACCCTCTATTCAGTAAAGTTGGCACTAGCTTCACTGACAAGCAGCAGTCGCTCGGTCAGTATAGTTCGCTTACGGACTAAAACCATGGAGTTAAGTTTTAGTTTTAGGTATTAAAGAGATTACCTAAATAAGATTTGAGTGTTTCATGTGAGTGAAAATGAAGATTCTAGTTTCCTAGGTTATCAAAAGTCGGAAGGACATGATACTTATATTTCAGGGCAACCTTGAAGATATAGTAATTTATGTCAGTATGTGTTCCATAAATGTCTTCTGTACAGTTTAGGAACATAGGAGGTATGAGAAAGATGAGTACTGTAGAAGCTATAATGAATTCCAAATTTCAATGTTGATGGCTTGTATGAGATGCAATCAGTTCTGAGCTTATTACTAGGATGGATGACATGGAATCTATTAAGCAGGAATGGAGAGGTGTGTTCCAGTTTGGAATACACACATTTCCCAAACATGTTCTATGTGATATTGCACATATCATCGCATTAATGTTCATTTATTGTATATATAAATATGTTGCTTTAAAGTTAATCACACTGCTTACAGTCAGACATTATTTTTCCTTGAATTTCATTATGTATTTTTTAAATCAAAATAATGCGCAATGTATCAGGCAGCTTTTGTTCAGACTTTGAGTGCTTATCCTGCAGTGTATGGTAGGGTTTGTTGGAGTGATGTCCTGCGGAGTGCTCCTTTCTCCTGCTCTGAGCTAGGATAACTCTCAGAAGTGTGAAGCAACCTTTGTCTCTTAAAATGACCTTTTTCGTTGTTTCACTTTAACGTACTGACCATGTTTTGTTTTTGTTGTTATACTTAACATGTCAGCGTTTGCCATATCCATGAAGAAATAAAATAGTTACTACCTCTCATGTCTGGCAGAGTGATAAATCAATTTCTTGCACTGCTACAAAAAATGTGTGTAAAAATTATGAAAATGAATTAAGCAGGAAAATGCTGAAATGTATAATGGTATAAACATGAATGTACTTTAAGAATTAATGACAGGTAATATATCTGAGTTAATTAATTTCATTTTCAATTCATTATATATTAATCATTGTATTGCTCATCAAAATTTCATTCATCTAACTCTATTTTATCCCATTTGAGCATCCACTGTGCTCTGCTGGACAGTCATTAAGAGTGATTATTAGGTTCTTTAACAATGCTGTTTGAACTGCACATGTTATAGGCATGAAAGGACTGGAAAGATTATCATGAACTGTAGGTAGACACAGGTTTAGAAAAGGTAGTCGTAGCCCTTTTCAAGGCACTACTGTGGCTTTTGCCTGAAGAGACGGAGTAAAACAATGAGGAATCCAGATAGATTTGTAATTTGGCTGAGATTTGAATCGAGTACCTTCTGAACACATGTCTGATGCTTTTGGCTCGTCAGTCCTATCTCATAGTTTGGGGAAGTGTTGCATTGAGATGACTGTTTGAATACTCTGACAGAAATTGAATATGTGAATGTTTTTCATAATAAACATATTCGACAGGTCCCTTTGGAGAACAGGATGATGAACAGGTCTTTGTTCAGAAAGTTGTTCCAGAAACAGATCAGCTGTTTGTAAGACTCGCATCAAATGGAAAGAGGTATGATTGTTTTTGATTCACAGTCTAATTTTGAAGTATATCTGATATAATTGGTTTTTACATGTTACATTAGCACAGGTATGTTCAATTCGCATTTATTGATATGTCAGTAAAAGGTGAAGTATTGGTGATTTTGTGCTATCTGAAAGTTCCCAGACTGTCATTATTGTAACTGCCTCGGTGAATGAAGATGAAAGGGGAGACCAAGGTGACACTTTGGCAAGCCTGTTGCATCAGTATGCCTTGTGACACTACACTGTGAACATGCATTGCTTTTACACAAGTGCTTTTTTTACTTGAGCAACGTATCTGCATCAAACTTGCTTGAAACTCGGTAAATCTATTACTGAAACCGTTGAAAAGCTTCATGAGGCTTTTGGAGAACATTCTTAAGCCAGACAGTAGTTTTTGAATGACATTCATGTTTCAAGGCCAGTCGAGTGTCAGTTGAAGATGACAAATGTTCAGGGTGATAAAGCACCAGCAAAACGACAGAAAATGTTGAAAAAATTCAAGAACTCATCCATAAAGACTAGCGAAACAATCCATGAGCTTGCAGACACAGTTGTGATCAGTTATGGAGTTTGCCAGGAGATTTTAATAGAAAATTTGAACATGCACCACATTGCACAAAGTTTGTTCCCTGACTCTTGACAAATGATCAAAAGTAGCAGCGTGTAAACATGTGTCTTGAGCTATGACAGAAGGCTAATGAGGACCCAACTTTTATCTCTAGGATCATAATAGGTGACAAAAGTTGCATTTACTTGTACTGTTTTGATCCAGAAACAAAGCAACAATCATCACGGTGGAAGAGCCCGCAATCACCAAACAATCCATGAGCTTGCAGACACAGTTGTGATCAGTTATGGAGTTTGCCAGGAGATTTTAATAGAAAATTTGAACATGCACCACATTGCACAAAGTTTGTTCCCTGACTCTTGACAAATGATCAAAAGTAGCAGCGTGTAAACATGTGTCTTGAGCTATGACAGAAGGCTAATGAGGACCCAACTTTTATCTCTAGGATCATAATAGGTGACAAAAGTTGCATTTACTTGTACTGTTTTGATCCAGAAACAAAGCAACAATCATCACGGTGGAAGAGCCCGCAATCACCAAACAATCCATGAGCTTGCAGACACAGTTGTGATCAGTTATGGAGTTTGCCAGGAGATTTTAATAGAAAATTTGAACATGCACCACATTGCACAAAGTTTGTTCCCTGACTCTTGACAAATGATCAAAAGTAGCAGCGTGTAAACATGTGTCTTGAGCTATGACAGAAGGCTAATGAGGACCCAACTTTTATCTCTAGGATCATAATAGGTGACAAAAGTTGCATTTACTTGTACTGTTTTGATCCAGAAACAAAGCAACAATCATCACGGTGGAAGAGCCCGCAATCACCAAGAGCAAAAAGGCACATCAGGTCTGGAGTTCAACAAAGAGCAGTTAGAAATTAGAAAGGATTTTGTAAGGAAGTGGTCATGGCCTAATTGAGCTACTATCCTGGCATGTGCCTGGAGGGACTGAGGAGAACTGTGAAAAATCTTGATCAGGATAGATAGTGCCCCAGCCAAATTTTAACCAATAGCTTCTTGGATATAAGTCTAACGCATTACTATCACTCTTTTGCTCCTAATTTCTGTTGATGTGCAATGATCATTATATGATATGTTACCACTCTTCATGTTTTGTTAATGGTGTGACAAAAGCACTGTTGTTTTTTAAATTATTGTTGTATTATAAATCGGTTGACAGTTTTATAACTGTCCAAACCATTTATTACTATAATTTCATTCTGCCTAACATGTTTTAATCACAGTGTCATTGTCAAGGGCATGTGTCATAGTTCTGTCATAAGTCCTGCAATATAAAAACAAAAATTACTTCTGCTAGTTTTAAAAAATGTCACATACAAATTTTGTATCTACAAGCCAGAAGGTTGCGGGTTCAGGTCCCTATGAGGTCATCAGATTTTTTTCAGTTGACCTAATCCTTCCAGCCACACTAGGCCCTGGGGTTTACTCAGCCTCTAACAGAAATGAGTACCAGGAATTAATTAAATAATTTTCCTGGGGAGTAAAGCGCGGTCGGCGCGGAAGGCTGACAACCTTACCACCATCTTTGAGCTGATTGTCTAAATAATGTGGGACCCTCAACATCTCACAGCCCTATGGGCCTTCACAGCCTGGTACAGGGATAGCTGTACTTACTTACAAATTTTTTATAAATAATGAATTTCATTTTATAATAATCTCCTGTTGCTGATGTTAAAAGTAATATGAAAATCACATTATTTGTTGCCTGGCAGGGTATGTGTGGTTAAAGCTGTTGATGGTACTACCATAACTTCATTTTGTGTCCATGAATGTGAGGGTTCCAGTCGCATGGGATCTAGACCTCGAAGGTTTATCTTCACCGGTCATAGTAATGGAGCCATACAGATGTGGGATCTCACAACAGCGCTGGATCTTGCAGCTAAGGGAGAGCCAGGTACTAAATGGTACAAAATTGCATAAGGTCTTTGATGAGAAACTGATATTTGGTCAACACATCAAAGAAATGCATTCCTTTTATGAAACCAAAGGATGATTATTGTGTTCATAACAGACTCTGCTAAATCCTGAGCCACTTGTCCCTAGCTCACTCTCATCTTCTGGGATAAAGTTTGGTAGAGTTTACTGACATTTTGGAGGAAGTTGCTGCCACGTTTTCAGGATCAAAGACACTTCTGTGCTAATGATATGGCAGCATGTTGTTTCCAATTGTCTGTAAAGATTTACAAGATTACACAGCATCACAGCCCAAGAGACAGTAATGATGCAATGACTGTGAGAACCTCAGACTTTGCAGTCCATGCTCTCCGTATCTTGTTAAGATAATAGTATTTGGATAGTTTCCTCCCATGTATGCTTATTTCTGTCAAGTGGTCTCTCTCTCTCTTTGAGGCTATGCACCTAAAATTTTGTATACGTTTCTCATCTCCCATGTAACGTTTCATGTCCTGCTAATGTCATCTTCCTGAGTTAACAACCTATAATACATGGTGAAGAGTACAATGATTTTCCTGGCCACCACATATCCCATCCTTTCCCCAGAAAGGAAAGTGATGTAACTGGATGTTGGCCACTTATTTTTGCCCAGTCTGACACTGTATGGAGCTTATTTCCATGTCCTTTGTATGCCTTCATGATATGCTAAAGCACAGGGACAGCATTTTAATTTCTTCATGTTAGTGTATAGATGACACGCATAACATGATAGACTTTTATTTCTGACAGCCACACAGATCTCTGGAGGACCTACTGCAGAAGAGCTTCTGAAACTTCTAGATCAGTGTGACCTTAGTAACAGCCATTGTTCTACTCCTTGCATTTCTCCATGCCCATCAATGGCTGCAACAGCTGCTGCTCGCATCAAAGCATCAAATGTTGCATTTCTCAATCAGTCCCAGGAGGCAGCGGAACGTGGAGGAAGTGGCACAGGAAGTATGCCGTGCTAAGAGTTGAAGTTATTCATAAGTTTCCCATTTCTGTGATATATATAGAGCATCTGTAAATTGGCTGAAGGGTGATTGTAATAAAATGTTTTATCCACCTTTATGTAGTTTTGCACCAAAACATGTTGGATCAGTTCATTTTAAACCACAGAGCATTTCCAGTGAGAGATAATATCACCATATGTTCCCTTCCCTCTTCCTGTTTTTGCACTGTGCTTCCAAAAAGGTAAGTTGCAGATCACAAGCATTAGGGTTACATCTTGTACTCTGACAAAGTCCTAACAGCGAAACCTTATTTCTTTCCTGAATTCTTCATTCAAAATATCCTTCATGGACCACTGTTCTTAAATCGGGCAGGAATAAAATGAGTTTTGGGAGATTCATGTTTCTATATATACAAATACCATAGTTTAGGCAGTTAGATGCTGGCTTCCCAGCATGGAGTCTTCAGTTCTGTCCTAGCTGACTTCATGGTCAATTTCTGATGGACAGTGTGGCACTGGAGGTCTTTTTCTTTTTTATTTCTAGTGGGGTGGGACTAAGTCCCTTGTACTGTGGCCACTTCTAGCCTATTGTACCAGCCCCAGATGATAGGTGGAGGTGATTGTGGAGCAGTTGGTGCAATGAAGATTGGCAGGGGAAACCGAAGTACTTGGAGAAAACCTGCCCCAGCGCCACTTTGTCCACCACAAATCCCACTTGACCAGACCTGGGACACTGGAAATCTTCCTTTGTGTTTCTTTTGTTTTCCCTGCCCATTATGTCACCATTGCTCCATGCTTATTTATAACCATCCCTGAAAGCACCTGATCACATCCACAATCTGTAAATCTGGGAGCTGATTGCTTTTACTTAGTACATGGCTTGTCATGAAGTAAGGAAGATAAGTTAATGGATAATAATGTTTAATTTGCTTGAATTAATGGACATGCAGGCTTGAACTTGTCCAGTGTTGTAAAATTTGAGAACCGCTGTTTTCAGATATGCATTCTTCAGTAATCTTAACTATAGAATAGAAGGATCTAATGGACTAATGAAAACTCCTATTTGCAAAGATCATCTTATTCCCACATAAATATTAGACACCTTTTCCTATGACACTTACCTTTCCATATATTCTTTTAAATACATATATTGATTAATATTCTGTTTTTCTTGTGAAGGATATTGCCTGTAGTTGTTTCTCTGCTAATATTTTCACCTATTCTAATAAATACTAATTTTTTTTTTCAGTGGTAGGTAGTATGGATCATAAGTCTCTTGAAAAGTAATCGAGTTGAGGTTATCACAGTGGTGAAGACTGATGTTGTACTCTTTTTGGTTAATGCTGAAACATACGTCGCTGGTCACAGTAGCCGAGCGGTCTAAGGCATGCACTGTCTTCGCTCACTCAGAAGCTGGGATCGTAGGTTCGAATCCCACTCAGGGCATGGATGTTTGTGTGCATTTTTCTGTGTTTGCCTACAGGTAGAGGCCTTGCGACGAGCTGATCACCCGCCCAAGGAGTCTAGAAAAACCGAAGTGAACGGAGAAGTTCATGGAGATAGGCCTAGGCCCACTGGGGCTGTAGTGCCGGGGGGGGGAACATATGTCGCATAGCCCAGAAGATTGCAGTATGAAGTAGCATACTGCTAAGCTTCATACATACACACACATGGGACGGGACCTCATCCACCTTGCTAATAATATTTTAAGACACAGCAGGCCACAAACACATACAGGACAACATTAAAGAACTCTCTTCTCGAGAATGAGAAGGGGGCACACATTCGGCCCCCGTCAAAAGAAATAATAAGAGGGAAGACACAAACCAGCTTGGTTTACGAATTCCAGTAGAATTTTAACAAACTAACTATAAATATTTTAAAGTATTGGAACAGCCGCTGTAGTTGTAAAGACTTTAGATTTTGCAGCCAATTGTATATTATTTATATTGTATGTATATGTTTTGACTTTAGAACATGTACTGTAATGGTGGCTTCTAACTGTTTTGATGCAAAAGGTATCCCTCTGAAGATTGTCTCTGAAGACTGACACATGTAAGGGCATAAATAACTGAAATAAGAAAACCTTAACAAGTCACACTGAATGGAACTATTTAACTTTTCCATATTTTAAGATGTTCACAAGTTATGAAACTCATTATGTAATTTTCTTCAGCATGATGTTATTTCTCATTGGGTCCAAATACATTCTCCTAAGCAGTCTGTTACAAACACATTTAATCTAGTTCTGTTTTTTTAGGCGTAATGTTAGAATTAACTTTCACACTCATACGATTAAGGGGGCACACAGTAGCATAGCTGGTTGAGACACTGCTACAAGCCAGAAGGTCATGGATTCAATTCCCGATGAAGTCATTGGATTTTTCAATTGACCGGTCACACTATGCCCCCGGGTCAATATGGCCTCTAACAGAAATGAGTACCAGGAATGTTCCTGGGGGGTAAAGGGCGGCTGGCGCACAAGGCTGACAACTTCACCGTCATCTTTGAGCTGATTTTATAGAGAAAATGGTGGGAGCCTCTACAACCCAATGGGCTTTAACGGCCTGCTAACAGGGATAGCTTTACCTTTACATTACGTTGTAGAGACTGGATTCTGTCTCCATCTTCAGGTAAAACCTACTCAGTTGGGCACAACTGATATAGCTAGACAGCCACATCCAAAATAGTTTTTAATAAATACAGGCATTCTCGGAAAATATCATTTGAGATCGGGTTTTCATTATCTGTATTTTAAAGCTACACTGGATCATGGCAGTCCTAACAAAATATGACTGGATGAATTGGTTCAAGTAAAACATAATTTCCTGTAATAAGAACATGGACAATGTGTAATATGAAACTATTTGAATGGTTTAAAGATTGTAGTTCATCCTGTAAGAAAATATCATTTATCATATGATAGTATAAATATATTTATTAAAGTGTCACTTAAACAGATACAGTATATTTGTTTATTCAAAATTTTTTAGGCATGTGCGAGTCATGAATTTAGAGACTAAATCCAGAAGAAATCTCAATTCAAATCTCGATTTTGCAGATAACTGCTTTTGCTTTGCATAAGTGAACTACCCAGTACATCAGTAATATGCTAGTTGGCAATGCTAACATGTATCACCTTGCCAACAATGTCCGTGTTCCTCTTTATGCTCATGGTGAAAAAGGACATAGCCCTGAAATATATATTTTTTTAATAGACCAAAGCATGAAATTTTGTCATTGAAAATGATCTTGTAACAAAAGGGATTAGAAGTATACGTTACTGCACTGTGAAAAGGTGATTACGAGTACAGTGAAAGAATTGGTCTAGTAGAGAAATGTAATCCCAATTTTCAAAACGTTTCCCAATTCTTGTCTCAAACTGGAAGTCATTCTCACACATGCCTATCATTTTTCATAATCTAAGTTAAAAATTTTCCACATTATGTAGTCATGTCATAATGACATCATTCTGTACATACCTTCAAGAATAAAATTATCTTCGGTGCTCAACAAATTCTTTACTAGGCAGTGACTATTAGGACACTAGAAACCTAGAATAACACTGTAACAAGCAACAGTCATACATTTCTACATAATCATTATTGGCTTAAAAACTGCTGTGCAACATACCTATATTAACTTTTAATCTGGGCAACTTAAGAGTCAGCAAGACTTCTACCAGACTGTTACAGGTAACACTTTGAGCCTGGAAATTCCAGAAAAAAAAATAGTTATATAAAACATCAACTTGCCTATTTTGACATATGAAGCAGAAATTCTAACACAAACTAAAACAGTAAAAATAAAGTATTGCAGAGTACGAGGTAATAAAGACCAATGAAAAGATAAAATCAGAAACCAGGATATTGTACAAAACCTAAAAATAATAACTGCAAAAAAAGTTGGTAAATTTGTAGCATGAACTTGTGCTATGCATGCTGGCAGCTGAATTTCTTTGGAGAGAATAAGAAATGAAGGTCTAACAACTGACCATTAGGGAGACTGAAGGTAGGTTGGACAGACTGAGCAGAATAGAGTAGTACAACGGTAGATGCAAGATACTTTCTAGTTATCATATCTCTGGTGATAGGTACATATATACATGTGTATATTGCAGTCCATTGATCCAAAATTAGTCATAAAAAACATATGTACAATAGAACTGAAAATTCGCGTAACAATTTAAAAAAAAAGGTTCATATAAGGTATGTGGTGATACCCCATAAAAGTGTAACAGAAATATATCATTGTCTGAAACAATGATACTATTGCTTGTGAAAAAATAACATAACTCACTGCACTTACATTCTTAAAGTGTTCAAATTCCTATAATACAGTATCATTACATAAAAAATTATACAAAAATTAATTTATAATTCTATAACTAAAAACTTTTTTTTTAATTTGCTTAGTGGGGAGTGGAGTCCAACTGGGTCCACTCGGCACGGCGGCCACCGATTGGCCTATTGTAGCCTGCCCCGGGTGATTATGATGATGGAGAACTTGGTGGAATGAAGATTGGCAGGGGAAACTGAAGTACTCTGAGAAAACCCGCCCCAGCACCACTTTGTCCACCACAAATCCCACTTGACCAGACCCGGGATCGAACACAGGGTGCCACGATGGGAAGCCAGTGACTAACCGCTTGAGCTATGGCGCGGCCCATTCTATAACTAAGTAAATACATTAATTCATTATCCCATGTAACAAATGTGTAATGACCAGCAGAGTACCTGCTCACTTCCCAGAGCCTTAGCCAAACTATCCCTCCCTGATGTAAGACAGAGGATAACTGGTCTGTATAAGAGAAGTGCCTATGTAGACTAGGTCTTATAGTGGCCCACTGAAAGTGCCAATGGATGACGAAAATGTACATAAGTAAAGTACACACTGCAGAGTCCTTCTTGAGAAGCCAATCAAAGAATTTGTGCTTTATTGAACTCAGAACTTTGTTCTTGTATTCACAACAGTCAATCACTGGAACCTATCCTGAGTCAGCTAAATCCAATCCACATCCTCATACTCTATTTAAGAACCACTTTAATATGTTCCGCCTATCTACATACACGTCTCCCACATGGTCTCTTCCCTTCAAGTCTTCATACTAAAATTTTTAAAGTATTTCTCATATCTCCCATGTGTGCTACATGCCCTAAGAGGTTAAAAAGTAAAATTCACAAAATGATCAGTGTCTTATATTTTAAGACGATTATTTTAACTGAACATAACTGATTGCATACACTCAAGTTTCACAACAGTTTAAGCATCAAGAGTCAGACATTCATTTTGCCAGTACTATTGGTACACTTTTACTAGTTTTATATGTTTGTTTCTTTGTGCGTTTTGAAGTTATATTATTCCTGCCCTAAAATAAATGACACACAAAATTACACATAAATACTATTGTGCATCTTTACATTTAATTAGAAAAACTGTGATGATAAGCATGAGCTCAGCTGAACACACTGTGATCATGAGATAACTTATTAATAAAGCTAATTCTGGAAGACCTCTGGTTTTTACATATTGTTGTAACCAAAGAACAGTATCCCATGGGTTCAGACCTTAAAAAATACTGATCTACAAAACAGGATGACAGAATTTAAGAAAATTCTCACCTGGAAAGTTGATATGGAAGATTACCTTACAGAACTTTAAATCATTATACGCCTGCACTGTCAGAGTGGGAACTAAGATATTTTTCATATTCACAAAAGTTTATGTGGCTTATAAGGATACAAAAGGGCTGAAGATACAGTTTTAAAAGTGGTCTTATTGTTCATTAAGAAATGGCATTGTTTGTTCTCTTCTATCATTCTATATTCAAATTGCAACTAAAACTGAAAGATTTGGTGCAGGTTTATCATTTTTCCCATGAGTTTCAGATTTCAGTATAGTATTTTCTTTTTAAAGTAAATTTATATATAATATTTTTAATTTATAAAGGACTCCTTATCTGCCATATGCAATTCACATAACAGTGTACTGAAAGCTCCTATTTGATGTTTTTGTACCCGCTGACACAACCACTATCATCTCTAGCAAGTATTTTCATTAACTCACAAGCCATTGTGAGATCTTCCTTCATGGAGAGGTTTTCTCCTTATATTGGCAGGCCACAAAAACCGCTAATTAGCATAAAGATTTGCTATGTAGGAATCTGTTGTAGTGTCACTACATTTGGGACTGATTACTACCTATTTTGTTTGGTTGTGCAGAATTTTGTCTTGTAGTTACATTAGTACGGGCTGCATATTAAAAAGATATCATTAGTATACCCATGATGATTATCTGTGCTTAGCTTCTCTCAAATCCAGCATGCTGACTCACCCCAAGAGTGAACTTAATCAAGTTTCCGCTGTAGCAGAAATTCACGGCCTCCCCATAAAATAGTAGAACAGTAAAGCAGAGAAACTCTTGCATATCCCTAGGTGCTATACAGTAACAACTTCTTTCATTTATGTTGATTCAAAAGACTTGGAAACGATTCCTTACACATTTTTATACTCAGTAGATATTTCTTACTGCACAGTAATTAAATTTATGATGTTACTGCCACATGGTATAACACAAAAACTGTAAAAAAATCTCTTTTAATGTTTCAAAAGTGAAACTGATTTACAAGACATGGGGTTTATAAGCTTCAGAGAACAGGTGAGCAAATTATGACCCCCAAAAAATTCAGTCCAGCCTGTGGTAACAGAGATATTATTAATACAGCACTTTATTTATATATTTCAAACAATAATTTAATTGTAATACTTCTTATAAAACATAAGTCTAGATACTGATGGAAATGGATATTGTTGGTATAACAGTATATTTATTATATTCATTTACTGTATCTACAGTTGGGTACGAGGAAGTCAAATGAGACGCACTTTAGATTTGGTGTGCTATGAGTTTGAGCACCTGAGGAATATCGGTTTAAGATGCCATATCCAAATTAATTATTAATAAGAAATGTTCCTATACATATAAACTGCATGCAGCCAGTGACTAATTGAGGCTGTTACGAGTTTTCCACTACAGAATTTTTCTTGCTATGCCCTGGCCAAGGATTACTTCAAATTTTCCCATCTGGGCCCCACATAAAAAATAACTGCTCAATCCTGCTCTAATGGAGATTTACTTAAGAAATACCCCCCAAAAAATGTACAGTGCAATCAAAATTACAAAAAAAAATGGTTTTTAGAGTTCATTTAAAATGTTCATTGAATAGACAACATGCAACATACTGCTGAAGGAGTTTTCTCTTCTCCATAATCAAAAACAAAACATACTTCCTTTATGGCTAAATATATATAAACAAAGTGAGTTAATATAAACACTTAAAAAATTGATTTAAATGAATATGTGAACACCATTATGTGGGCAAACAGCGTCAAAAATTCTTTTCAAATAAAATCAAAAGCCTCACTCCTTAATTAGTACCCTTTCTGACTCATTTCCAAAAATGAAATGTCATCTTCTATGCATAATTATAAGGTCTGTCATCCCCAGTTTCATCTATATTTAATTATTTATTTCATTGAGAAACCCACTTCTGTGAAATAATGTAATTGACATTTGCTTGGATGATGATAAAATGTAGAGATGAGAGCATTTAACAATAAATTATCATATAAATATTAATACATCACTTTAATCAGCTTTTATTTTCATAATGGAAGAATACAATCATGAAGATACCAGATTTCAAAATTACCATGGGACATAACACTGTGAAGTCCAGTGAAAGTCAACCTATGTTCTGGAGGAATGTGTCACCTCCATCATCAGAGCCAAAGAATTAGCCAAGCAAAAAAACAGCTCTGCTTGCCACCTGCTTTCAGGCTGGTTTCTTGCTTGGCTAATTCTTTGGCCCTGAAGATGGGGGTGACATGTTCCTCCAAAATGTCAGTCGACATCAATGGACTTCACCGCATTATATCCCAAAGATAGAACTCTTCAACTGTGATTTTAATAACTGCTATTTGTAGTCCCTTTTATGATGAATGTACATTTGTAATACTTTCAGTAAAATCTAATATCTTCATGAGTATACTACTTCCATTAGGACACTATCAAACTAATTCCATTTCCCTCAGCATTGATCACAGGATGCTGTCTGATTTCATAACAGTGAGTGCTGTCATATGAAAGAAACACCCAGTTGAATATGTATCAGTGGTTCTTCCAAAACAAATTATTGCTATACCATGCAGGATTTGTTAATGGTGTAAGCAAGATACACCAAGCTACCAATCCAAAAACAAACAATGACATCAACAACATTCTCTGAGGGTCCTTATATGTTAGAATCTCTCCAAAATCTGGGAATCCCATGTGGTTACAGAAGGCATGAGCTGCAAATGGTGCCACAAAATGGCCTGAAAATGATGTAAAGTACTATAGACAACATCCAAATAAGTTGCAACATGCATACAAAATAACAGAGTACTGAATCTTGCAAGAACACTACAAATGGGGAGGTACAGTGCCCCCCCCCAACATTTTGCCCACCTTATGATGCACCTGAAACCGTCCTCCCCCCTGCTTAGAATACAGTGAATCCTCACTAATTCAGAATTCATGATAATTAAAAAAACTGTTTTTTTTCCTTCACATTATGACCTTGATGATCAAATTGCCCCTATCTAAAATGCTTTTAAAACTAATGTCAGAATTTACATTTTTATATTTATGACAAGTAAATGTATTTTATGATGTGCAATCTAAGTTTCAAAATAAAGAAGACACATGAAGTCCATTTTACAACTTCCCTGAACAAATTTCAGTAGCACTTCTATAATTCAGACTTTCACTAATTCAGACAAGGATTCACTTCCAATTAGTCCAAATAAGTGAGGTCTTACTGTACTTCGAAAGTCTCCAGAAAGCTGTGATTAAAGTTGAGGTTGTCACTTAATAGAGAGATCCCCAAACAATGCAAAATAATCTACACTATCAATTTCAAACCAATATTAACATGTAAAGCCAAAACATGGATCCTGATAAAGTGAAACAAAAACAAAATCCAGGCACCAGGTATTAAATTTTTTAAAAGCACTGAGGGAAGAACAAGAATATACAGAATTAGAAATTGAATTATTAGAGGAGTTGGATCTTAAGAGGAGAGTGAATTTGGGTAACGCTTGCTACCCTTCAGTCCAGAACCGTTTGCCTTCTCATCTGCCGTCTAAAAACATAAAAATTTGAATACGCAAAAGTATAATTTTGCCTGTGGTTCTCTATGGGTCTGAAATTTGGTTTCTGACATTAAGAGAGGAACACAGATTGAGGGTGTCTGAGAACAGGGTGCTGAGGAGAATATTTGGACCAAAGAGAGATGAAGTGACAGAAGATTGGAGAAAACTGCATAATGAGGAGCTTCATAACTTGTACTCTTCGCCAAGTATAATTACAATGATCAAATCAAGGAGGGTGAGATGGACGGGGCATACAGCATGAATTGGGGGGCGAAGACGGATGCATACAGGATATTGACAGGAAAGCCAGAAGGAAAGGGATGATTAGGAAGACCCAGATGTAGGTGGTTGGATAATATTAAGATGGTAGAGACATAGGATAGGGTGGTAAGGAGTAGACTGATCTGGCTCAGGATAGGGACCAGCGGAGGGCTCTTGTGAACATGGTAATGAACATTTGGGTTTCATAAAACACTGGAAAGTTCTTGAGTAGCCGTACAAATGGCAGCTTCTCAAGAATGGCTCAGCTCCATGAAGTTAGTTTAGTTAGCTAGTTAGAGCAGCTGGATCTAGAAATGTGTTATTACAGTTTGAAGACAGTGAGTAAAATGGTTTAGCCATGTACAATAACGGCTAGAAAAAGGACACCAAGAAGGACATTATAATTAAGAACTAAAGGAAACAGACCTGTTAGTGACCCCCAAAAAAAAAAAAAAGCTCAACCAGGTAGGGATGTCATCAAGAGCAGAGGAAAGAACAGGCAACAAATTGAAAAGGAAAGACTGGGAAGATTAAAGAGACTGGAAACTTTGTCTGTTGATCCACATAAAATGGAAACGAGGCTAGAAGGCAAAGATACATCACCTGTAAATGTAATTAATCAAATTAAATAACGAGCACTAACACATGACAACCTACTATAATTTTAATAACTCATAATTAAAGTCAACAGATGTACTTTCTAAAGTTTTCAAAATGAAAGCAACATGGGTGCTTCACCCATCAAACTTCTTGAACATATGTCTCAGTCTAATTCCTATTTAGCTAGTTAAAATTATACGCACCAGTTTTTGCAAACAGAAATGCTGAATAGGCACCAAACAAGGTTGTATATGAAAACTGAAAGCCTGAAATAAAATTCATTAAATTGTTTAAAACCCAAAATAAATTTACATGTGTACATTTTTAAATTACTGAAAATAGTGCCATAATATTACTGCAATACTTACATGATATCATTAATGCCCTTTTGAGATCTAAACCGCTTCTCATTCGTTCTACCATATGATGAAAATGGGCTGAAACAACCCGAAACATTAAGCCAAGTACAGAGAAGAGACTTTTTCTTTTATTGCTAGAAGTAACAAAATTGGTATTCCTTTACTAGGAAGGTAACTAAACATGAAACACCTTCATATGCTCAAATCAGAAATGGTAAAAGGAATCACTGATGCACAGTATATGTTGCTGATGTGATCTGCTAATACTTTTCAATCATCTTACTTAGTCAACTGGATAACAATCATAAAATGAATTGTACAGTCAGTCTTCATTCTGTAACAAAATACCAGCAGTTGGTTCCATGCAACTAACAGAGGACACCTAAGGAACTCACCAGTGAACACAGAATTCCATAGAACAGAGTCCTAAAGAAGATGATACTTAATTAGCTACTCATGAAATTCTGAGCACCCTATGAAACCTGAAGTTTCATTACCATGTTCATATGAACTTTGCACTAGTCCCTATCCTGAGCCAGAAGAATCCAGTCCACACTCTTCCATCCTGTTTCTTTAAGATCCATTTTAGTGGTGATTCAGCTCTTGAGTTTTTACATCAGGTGGATGGAGGCAGTGTTGCCAATGATTTAGTGATAAATGCCAGCTCCATCTTAAAAGTTAAAATATGTAGAGTGAAGACAGATGCAGAATCTACCTCTGAAATACTGGCAACACTGCCCACATCCTTATAGTGCCAACAGCTGAACCAACATCAACAGTCAACCACCATGAAATCCTAAAATCAGTAATCCATTTTAATATTACCCTCCTCATTAAACACAAAAATGTAATGAATTATATTTGTAAAATGCAGGTCTTACCTACTCCAAAAAACAGTGGGCAGACAAAAACTGCAGTCATTGGTCGGAAACACTGTAGCAGAAGAGGTAACATGCAGGCTCTGAAGGTGAATTCTTCAGAGAGTGGTGCCACCACATAGTTACGAAGCCAGATTAAGTTTGTTAAGTTTGACATCCAGTACATAGGTTCTAAAACAGAAGTAAACTACAGTAAACAAGAGCAGTAGCTGCAGAACAAAGATGGTTAAACTCCGAAGTTTGAAGATAATGTGGAAATGCAATGTTTTTGCTTTATTTTATGGACGTCTACTATAATAGCATGGAACTTTACCAAGGAAGTTGGATCAAGTAGTAAGGCTTCTGACTTAAATTAGGGAGTGCAAAAGTTTCAATCTCAACCAGAAAGTGACTATCCTGACAGGTTCTTCGTGGTCTCTCTCAGTCATCAGGGTAAATTTTTGGATAGCAGTGTAAAATGACCATGACTGCTTCCTTTCCAAAATCCCTTCCAATTAATTATTCACCGTCATCTAATCTTCAATGCTACATAGTCTGAGTTATGGACAATGTCATTAAATAAGCTACACACAAACAAGGAGCTTCTTGACTTCCACAGGTCACCCAGTATTGTTAAGATGGTCAAATCTGGGGTACAATATATTTATCATGTACCTCATGGTAGTGTAGTTGGTTGAAGCACTATGCTACAAGCCGGAAGGTTGTGGGTTCAAGTCCCTATGAGGTGGATTTTTGTTTTCAATTGACTTAATCCTTCCAGCCGCACTATGGCCCTGGGGTTCACTCAGCCTCTAACAGAAATGAGTACCAGGAATTAATTAAATAATTTTCCTGGGGAGTAAAGCGTGGCCGGCATGTAAGACTGACAATCTTACCGCCATCTTTGAGCTGACTGTCTAGATAATGTGGAACCCTCAACATCTCACAACTCTATGGGCCTCCATGGCCTGTTACAGGGATAGCTTTACCTTTTTTTTACCTGGAATAGGGACACAAAGAATGCATAGAGAATTTTGGTGTGAAAATCTTATGGAAAAAGGCCACCTGAGGACTAAAAAGGAAATGTGATGATCACCAAGGAAGTAGGTTATACAGATGGATGATAATAGTTCAGTCCTGTTAAATGGTAGACTTTTATTAATGGTGTTGCTAGGCCACGCCATAGCTCAAGCGGTTAATCGCTGGCTTCCCACTGCGGCGGCCCGGGTTCGATCCCGGGTCTGGTCAAGTGGGATATGTGGTGGACAAAGTGGCGCTGGGGCAGGTTTTCTCAGAGTACTTCGGTTTCCCCTGCTAATCTTCATTCCACCAATTGCTCCACAATCACCCTCACCTATCATCTGTGGCTGGTACAATAGGCCAGAAGTGGCCGCAGTACAAGGGACTTAGTCCCACCCCACTAGCAATAAAAAAAAACGGTGTTGCTAGGGTGCTAGACTTGTCAGTTGTTTCAAAGCTGAACATTATGGTGTAGTGGCTAGCAGTCTTGCTTCATAATCTTGCACCAGGTTCTTCAACTGGATTCCTCAGTCTCACCAAGCAAACACTGTTCTAACACATAAAAAGAACCATAACCACTCCTACCTATATCCTCTCCAGCATGCTATTCATAATTATCCTGTGGTCTAATGCTATATAATTTATCCACTTGAAAAAAACACTGTTTAATAAACCAAGAAAAAAGAAAAAATTTCTGTTCAAATACATTTCAATTCAAATTCAGGTTTTATGTTAATTTAATATTATAATAAATAAATTAAATCATACTTCCCCACAAGATCAAAGGGGCTTTCTTTCTGTCTTTTACCTAATCTAATATATTTAAAAGCTTTCATCTCTCCGACATACCGGTATACAATTTCCACAGTCCACTGAACCCTTGCATGCTGAGTGGACCAAGAAAGAGGACCATTGTAAGAAACATTGGAATAACAATAGCAGGAAGTAGACCATGCATTCTGAGACCCAATAGTTGCCACAAAGTAGCCTGAAAAAAGGAGAGAACCATCTATACACAGCCTGTCAAGCCGTACTTAAATTTGTTTATGACCCCACATCTTTGAATTTAATCTTTTGCCATCCCATTTAAATTTACCGTAACCAGACAGTCTCAACCCTCTTATTTTTCTGCACATTCATGGAACTTTTTTTTTTTCTTTTTTTTTACAGTTGTTTGCTTTGTTGGATGCAGCAGTGGATCAACACATTACAGTCTCTTGTGGCTCAGCCAAGAAGGTTAGCCGAGCAATAATGTCGGAAGATACAGTTTTTGAGGTTTCATTCGATCCCTTCATGCATATTCCAGAATGTTATCTCCAATCAGGCCACAACTACTTGCAAATCCTTACCTACTTACCAGTCATGACAACTTTCATATATCATTCAAAGCAACATAATGCCTGTAGTTAAATCAGCATTATTAAACAACTTAAGAATCAATAATCTGTAGTGATTGTAGCACACATTTTTCAAACAACGGTTCAATTCCTTCAAATACTTTCTCTGAGCATATTTTATATAAATATCTCTCTTTTCTGGCAGGGTAGGTCAGGAATAAATGTAAAAATTAAAATACATAAAACTATAATTTTACCTGCAGTTTGCCTCTCTGGGTGTGAAACTTGGTTTATGACATTACGGGAAGAACACAGACTATGGGTGTTTGAGAACAGGGTTCTGAGGAGAATATCTGGACCTAAGAGGGATGAAATAATAGACAGAGGGAATCACACAATGAGGAACTTCATAACTTGCACTCTTCACCAAATATAATTAGAATGAGGAAGTTGACGAGGGTGAGATTGGCAGGGCATGTAAAAAATAGGAAAGCATACAGGGTATTGGTGGGACAGTCAGAAGGAAAGAGACCACTGGGAAGACCAAGACGTATGTGGGTGGACAATATTAAAATGGATCTTATACAGATAGGATGGAGTGGTATGGACTGGATTTGTCTGGCTCAGGATAAGGACCAGTGGCAGACTCATGTGAATGTGATAATGAAACCTTCAGGTTCCATAAAATGTTGAGAAATACTTAGGTAGCATAGTGACTAGTAGCTTCTTAAGAAGGGCTCAGTTCCATGGAGTAAGTCAGTTATACATGAGGATGGGTACCATGAAACTGAACTGGGAGGAAAGCAGGAAATGGTTGCAGCCTATTTAAATGTATGATTCTGTGATCTGCCAGTGATATTCGAATGAACTAGTAAAGAAATACAAGTCAGACACACTACCACTAAGCTAAACATCTACGTTATTCATTCATTCATATTCATTTCCAATTCCATAGATCTAGAGGGGCTAAAATGCCATTGGATATGGAACAAGTCCCTTACATGCATAGTTTCAAAAACGATTGAAACCAGTCAACACAATAAATTTTCTTATACATTATTGGACAAATTATACAAACCTCTTACCAAAAATTTCCTAAAACTAAAAATTAAAAAGCCATTTATACATTTTATGACTTGAACTGCTTCATGTTATGCAGTTTAATAAATAAAAAAGTTTCAATTTTGGAATGATCATGTGACATGACACGATAGATGAAAAGTTTCCAGAACATTTTGTCCTCCAAGAAGAAGCATCTGCCTCTACATACTCCCAAGGACCTTACCAATTTACATTTCATCATTCCATATTTATCCTGAGTTCTATCTTCTGGGGTTTAATACTCTGTAGTCAGTAGTCTGTAGTCTGTCAACCAGTTTTTTGGAGGAACATGTCACCTTCAGCATAGCTCTGCTGCCTTACTGCTTCGTGCCGGTTTCCTGCTTGGCTTACTCTTCGACCCTGCAGATGGAGAAAACATGTTCCTCCAAAATGTCAGTTGCCTTGCAACAGACTACATGGTGTGGTGTGACAGCCTAAAGTCCTACTGTATTTATTTTATTTTTTATGACTTCTTTATAAAGTATATGGGAGGTAAAATAAATCAAATTCCTGCTGTTTTCAGAAGATCTGCAACTTATGTCTTTTTTTATGTCTCACAAATCACAACAACATTTGTAAACAGTATAAACTGGAGAAGCACTTGATGTGAACTCAATAAATCATCCCTGTTGCCCATCATTATGCATCACTTTAAAAATGAGTCCTTTTTGGAAACATCACAATTTATGTATAACAGCCTTCTAATACCTACGTTCAGTATCACCTTCTGCGGGTATGATACATTCCAACTGTATTCAGTTAGCAGTTAAAAGCGTGGATGGATATAAAAAAGGGTGAATAAAGGTGAAAGATCTTAAGCTTTCACAGCAACCAAAGTTAATCAAATCTTCTCGGACCATCAGTCATGTCAGCTAGTTAAAAATGACCAACATTTCAGACTATCTCCATCATAAGAATCATAGTTCCTCTTATGCATTACACGTTAGCATATAGATGGGAGTTTGTATCCAGTAACACATCAGATCCTGATGGTGGGAATAATGATGGTTTCTGAATTATCGGTAAGTTTTAACAGATTGATACACCTAGGGGCCCAAGATTTTATGCGGATGAAGTATATGATAAGTAGTGGCAGGGCTCACCTTTTGAAGAATGTGTTCTTGGGAGAAGAAATATAAAAACAATGGAGATATAAACATCATTACGAAAACACTAAAAAATCTCTTCTTTATTGTGGATGGATGGTCCCTGCAATATAAAAGACAAACTACATTATGCAATTCTTATGAGAGAGGGTTAATGTGTGCTGCAGCGTTATTTTGCATCAGACAGAATGATACATTATACTGCATTTGTTAATGCTAGTTATATCTGATTTCTATAAACAATACTACCCAATCCTTCTCATTATTTTGTATTCATACATTTGGCAACACTGTCACGTGGGACTCCTGAAAAGTAATAGTTGAAATTTAAACTTATAAAATGTGAAAGAAGCAGTAATATTATTACCTGTTATGTGGGGAGTTCCATATATACAAACTTGCAACATAAACGACAGAAAGAAGAAAGCATGCTCCTGCAGAGGTTAAACAATAATATTCTTTAAGCCTGTAAACCTCCATACTGTCATTACGGTCGTCACGTGACAGTAGGAAGCGCTTTTATTGGACAGTCACAGAATTGTTCTCTGAATGAGAAAATGGCTGCCTGGGTTAATGGAAGGGTATCCTTTGTTTAGGACATTCTATGGTGAAAAATAAGGGAAAATCTAAAATGCCGAGTGCATCATTCACATCAACGCGTTCATATTTAAGGAGATCACGAAGAAAAGTGGCCAACAGGATTCCACTTCTATCCCGGTCAAGTTCTGGTAAGTTGAAAAGTTGTTCCTTCTCGAAGACCAAGTGTTTGGACTCGTCTTAGGCCCATGTCTGTTGACAGCTTATTGTTATGTAGGATGTAACAAGGATTGTATTTTCATTGAACATTTTTCGACAGAAGTGAATTATGAATTAACAATATGCTCATTAAAATGTGAAGAAATCGTTCGTTTCAGTTTATAAATATAATTGCAAACCCAAAAAGTGACTACTTAACATTATTGCATGAATGTTGTCTCTCCTAGGTTGAGTAAGTGGAATATGGACAATAAAGGTGTATTAAATTTTGCAAAACAACCTTTATGAAATTGTGCACTAACAGCGAAACATGTATTAATTTAAATACGGGGTATGATGATAAAAGAAGTTGGAGCAACTAAATTCCTTGGCCTACAAATTGACAGTACGTTAGGTTGGCAAACACACGTTGAATGTTATTGCCGCAAAATTAAGTTCAGCATGCGTTGATATGAGGACAGTAACATCACTCAAGAAAGTAGATGCTTTATAAGGAGAGTGCTTATTTTCACTCTTATCTTCTCAAGAGGACTAGTATGCTGGGAAAATTCTATAAGCAAGAAGAAAGTATTTATCTCAAAAATAAAAAATAATTAGAATAACAGCAAACATTAGAGAAAAAGGAGCCTCTAATAGATAAAAAACTTTTACTTCATACTCTTGTTACTGTTGTTCATTGCGTATAACATGGGAAAGTTTCAGATTAATTTAGGCATACACTGTATAAACATAGGACATAAATATGACTTCCATAACTTCAGTAGCTATCAGAAGTGTACTATGCAAGAATCAGATTATTCATTCTTCAAATTATCATTGACAATTTAAATCAGGAAGCAAAGTTTTTGAATCAGCACTGAAAGACTATTACGCTAAAGGTAAATTTGTCCCTGTGCTTAACTAATTAAGCACTACGCCATGAAGACATCTGGGGGAGTAGATGTATAGATCCACATTTTCTTGACCTCGGCACTAGTTGGAGGTGAGTGGTCAGCTTCACACCCTGGCTGCTTCACCCCTGGTGAAAGAACCCCTGCTACCTATTGTATAGGAGTTTGGGTGGGCCCCACAGCTGTTCTGGACAACATAAAGAAAAGGAAATTCTTCACCCTTCCGGGACTCGGAACTCCAATGCTTCAGCTGTGCAGTCCATAGCCAGTTGCTATCCCGGCTCACAGACTGTTACACTCCTTTGCTGAATGAGGGATTTACTTTAATTCAAAGTTGAAGGTATGGTCTGCATCATTGGTGTAGTTCTATAATGGATCCATGGAATGTAGGCTTCATGACACACTTCAGTCCTTCAAAAAAGAAAAGAAAGGAAAGAGACAAAGAGAGGATTAGTATTATTGCATGAGACTTTATATAATATGCTGACAGTATTCAGTCTCACTATACAACTGTTAAGACAGTAAGTACAACTGCATTACTTTTCATCTGCAGAGAGTGGAAATGGCCTCGTTGATGAATTATATTTGTGGATTTTTACCCTGAGTTCAGGTTTCTTATTCTGTTGTTGCAGTAAAATACATGTAAACTTCTATTATACTACTAGCATAAAACCATTGAAGTTTAATTGACAAATTTTCAAATACGTGATAATTTCCGAACATCAGTGACTCAAAAAAGTTTTTGAAAAATTTGTATGAAGGTACTAAACTGTAGTATAACATTTTTTTTTAAGGTAGTATAACAGTTTGCTCACAACAGTGCTGCTGTTTAGATCAAATGTTACCTATAAAAATGAACTTTGTCCGTAGTATGTAACCTCATTTTCTTCAATTGCATGAGTGATTTGGTCCTCAGATACAAAACAGACTCTTTATAAATTTCATGAATAACTATTATTTTGTAGGATTTTATGTTGTTACAGACATGGTTATGAAGAGTTTTATCTTCTTGCTTTTGTGTCTTCCCTTTTATTGACATGTCACATCTTGTAGTTAATGTGTTGATAAGTTGTAAAAACTGTCCGTGTGTCAAGTAAGATCTTGAATAAAAGGTATGGTTTAACAAGCTGTAACACCAAGTCATCTCATACCATGATCCTGATTAACAGATGATTTGTATTTATAGACAGTATGCAAAAGTTAATTTGTGTCTTGTTCAGATGTTTTGTACACCCCATCCTCAAATTGAATACTGTTATAACAGTATAACAGTACCAGGTTGGATGGCTTTACAGTACTAATTCAAACTACAGTTTTAGTATGAGAAATCTGTATTTAAAATGTCATTGGATTCCATGTGGACAAATGAGAGAAAGGTAGTAAGATGAGTTAAAGGTATAGTTCACAATGCAGTGACTTGTTTTTATGGCATTCAGTAAAGTTCATGGGAAAATTATTGCAGTACATTGTGAACATGTAGTGTCAGCTTACACGGTGAGTGTGTGAGTGCAACCTGTCTGCCTGTTGAGATGAAGTGAGAAACAGACACGTACATACTGTTACTTAAGTTACTTTTTTCTGCTAGTTTTCATCCTTCATCAACAGGTAATGATAAGAACAAAAGCCAGCAGAAGGAAAGAAATTTGAAGTGGAATTGTTATCCCCAACATTGATGGTCACTGCTTCAATACTTTACATCCTGTCATCCATGTCCTAGAATCTTGGCTTTTCTTACACTATGAAATTGCAAACACAACTTGCCCACTTTTCTGCAATTATGTTAATTTTTGTAACAGTTTTTTACTTGAAGGTTTTATTCTCTGACCTGAGGTCTTATGAAGTCTCTAATGTTCAACTTACAGTGATATGACATGACACATTGTCCATTACGGTAACACATATAAGAGTCAAGATTGGACAGTATTTTCTGGATCTTTCCTTCGTGATACTGTCTTGTTGAATGAAAATTGCAGACAGTCAACTGCATATCCCTTTTCACTGCTGGGGTGCACCACAGTTAGCCACTTTGCTTTCAGAGAGAGTTTTATTTCCATTGAAAATCCTTTCAATAAAACATCCTTAGCACACCTTATTGTTTGGTCTCGCTGAATTATCTGTTCGATGTGACCTGTGTTGACTGGTCTTTATCAGGATAATGGATGGGTTTGCCCTGTACATGATAACATTTAATATCTCAGAGATACCTGCGACAGTACAACAGTATTGTTTCAATCATAGAGACAGGTGTGTATATTCTGTGTGTTAAACTTGAAGCCTCTGCAGTTTTAATAGTTGGTGCATAGTTTTCCTTTGGAAGTGGGAAGTTTCAGAATGTTTTGCACAGTATCAGTCAGAAATCGTTGCTTCATTGCTGAAAGGGGGGAGGGGGTGTATTTTCCTCCTGATGGCTGTTTAGACAAACCCATTAGTGTCATTTGCTATGGATTTCACTTTGTTTCCCCTTCCCCCCTCCCTGATTTCCTTTATTTCTTCTTTGTTTCCACTGAGCCTGGCTGGTGGATTTATACACCCTTACAATGTTGAACACACTGCTTATTGCCAATACCATCAAGGAGGATACCTTCTCTGCTATGTTTGATATTCCTTTGTGAGAAGTGTCCTTTGGCAGTACACATTATAGCTGTCATTTTTTACCTGTATAGATGCTTTTCTCTAAAACATGTTTCCTCGCCAGATATAGTCCAGAATAGCCTCGTTGAGAATTGTCAGCCATGTTGAAGAAATGAATAACTTCACAGCAACACTTATTAGAAATATTGGATACTGTTCCTGCAGAAACACATTAACTCATTCAAGGAACAACACATGATGTCCACTATATCTATGTGTACTGTTGTTGCAATGAAGAGAGGCATTATGTGTACCATGCAAAGAGTACTTCACTGGCTTGTAAGCCATTAAGAGGGAAGTACACTGTTACTTATCACTAATGTTTTGTTTACATGCATTCCATAAATATTAAGAATAGAGCATAGTCTCAGTTGAAATGTTATGAAATACAACCAGAGATTGTAAAAAAAGTGAAGTTATTGTGAATATTTATACTATGATCTGCATCAGCACTAAGCAGTTTGTGCAAGTGTTCTACATTTTAAACATGAAATTTAGTTTTGACATGTGAATTATTTTGCTTGGCATTACTTTATGTTACTTGTTCTTCAAACATAAGAATAGTCATGGGAATTTTAAAGTAATCACCTTTACACATTTCTTCTAGAAGAACCATGTGAACTGATATGTCAAGTGTTCAATCAAAGTATGCCTGGAGCAGGCAGCACATCGAGCGGTTCTACTGCAACAGGTGCCTCATCGAGTTCGACAAGCTCTACAGCCACGGCAGCTGCCACTACTGCAGCAGTCGCTGGCAGTACTAATACACCTGATGTAAACGGTGGTGGTAGTGGTGGCAGCAGTAGTAACAGCAGCAATGGCAGTAGTTCTAGCCATCATTCGCCATATGACCTGCGTCGGAAATCTCCACCGCACCATTATGCTGCTGCTAGCACGAGTGGTACACCTCTTTCATCAGTCTCGGCTTCCACGAATTACTCCGCATCAATGCTCCCTGCTCGTAAAAGACCGCGTCGAACATGTTCAGTCACAAATGAAAGTGAGTACTGAGTTTGAAATTATGATATTTTAATTCAGTGTTTCTAGCTCTTTAGATATGAAAACTAATATAGGTCACATGATGTGCCTAATTCAGTTCATAATATTTGAAAGTGGTCTGGTTATTTATAGCTTTGGTTAAAATATAAAATAGAATGCTCACTCTAACCACATAACACGTACACCCATATATATTACATAGTTAAATGAAACGTTATATGGGATTTGAGAGTTTCACATTTGTGGAAATTTAGGTTTTTGCCTTCTGGGTTGTGACGCTCGTAGGTATTTACTGAAGTTTTAGAGGAATCTTCAGCCTGAATTAAGGATATTTTTACAACTTTCTTCCAGCAGCTTCAAGAGATACTTTGTAAAGAACAGCAGCTGATTACAAGAATAATCAGATATTTCTTTACAGTGTTTCTTACGTGACTTATCATCATCCCCTCATGCGTGTGTTCTAGCTTGTTCTGCCATTTCGGCAGCTCATTACTTGCAGTACGAGTTGCCAGCAGAGGTTCTTCTAGTGATATTTGGCTACTTACTGGAACAGGATTTGTGTCGAGTGAGCCAAGTTTGTAAGCGCTTCCAAGCCATCGCTAATGACACCAAGCTGTGGTAAGTCATCAATATGGTGTATGTAGAGTACTTATCACACGATTCATAGCTTACTTGTATAGCTTACAGTATGCAGAAAAAATGTCCTGTTAATAGAAGGTAATGCCCTTACTTCTCATGTACAGTAAATAGGTGAAAGAGAAGTACGTTGTAATGTGCAGGTGAGCTAGCACTGTTATTTCATAGTTTCATCTGGCTTTCTTCTCCCAGGAACCTGAAATAATAGTACTATAACTCAGAGGAGTCAGTGTAGGCCCCGCACTAAAATATTAAGATCAACACTGATGTCTCGTGAGCTGCTATAATGGCTTCAATGATTAAATAAGAGGTGGACCCTACTGGCCCATACACCATGACCATCAGTCCTCCAACAATCCTGCACTTTGAATAAAGCGTAATAGCCTAACTTGAAGGGGAACTTTGTTGTCATGATGCACCATGGTCTCTGTCTCGCTGTCATATAGGCTGTATCTTACAAAGTTTAGCATCTTTTCTTCATCACACCACTAAGGGAAAACTGTCCCTGTAACAGACAATGGAGGCCCATAGGGTTGTGGACATCAAGGCTCCCACATTTTTAGATAGTTGGATCACAGAAGGTGGTGAGGTTGTTGATCCCAGGAACATAATGTGACTAGAAGGATTAGTGTTCAATTAACAAATTCCTTCCAGCCGCACTGTGACCCTGGGGTCAACTCAGCCTCTAACATAAATGTGAATCAGGAATCTTCTTGGGGGAATCGGACAGCTGACATGTAAGGCTGACAACCTCACCGCCATCTGTGAGCTGATTGACTAGAAAATGTGGGAGCCTGAGCAGCCTCCGTAGTCTAGGGATAACGTTCCCACCTCGTGACTCAAGGTATGCAGGTTCAAACCCGGCGGAGTTCATGGAATTATTAAGGGCAGAAAAATTCAGGGAACAAGTCCTCCGGGAGGGACTTTAAGCCGTGGGTCCCGTGTCGTAGCTTTACGGCACGTAAAAGAACCTCATATCTCCAAAGGAGGCCACTGAGCAAAATTCAGGACATTTCCCGCCCAACAGTAGTCTCTAACGCCTCTGATAGATTGGGGAAGCATTAAAAAAGATACCGCTAAGCCAGTAGAGGCCGAACTCGCTGGCTCGGTCGGGACTGATGGTACGCACCAGTATTGGTAGGGTATAGAGACTCGTAGAATATCATAGAGGGAAGCACAATGGACCAATACTGGTCTAAGTGCATGGGGAAACCCAGCCTCTCCAATAACTAACTAACTAAATGTGGGAGCCTCGATGTCTCAACCCTGTGGGCCTCCACAGCCTGTTACAGGAATAGCTTTACCTTTCTCCTCACACCACTACCACCAAAAAGGAAGGTAAGTCATGTAAGATCATAGTGGTGTAAGTGAAAGCATAAAAGCTGTGAAGAGAAAAAAGAGCAGTATATAATTTATTAAAGGAGTAAGTACCTATGTATTGTAGTGAATGTTTTCACATTGTTCCGTGAAGCAGAGGAAGTGAAGATGTTTCCAGCCTGTTACATAGGAGAGATTGTAATAATTTAGAAATTCTGAATCAGTGGGATCACGTCCAAAGGTGGATAGTGGTCATCACATAATAAAGCAGAGGTCTAGGGAGGCCTCTTGTTGATGTAAGCAGGATGCTGAGGTAGGACATGCATTATCATGTGATGAGAGTATCTTGGAAAGGGACTGCTGTTGCCCAGATGTGACAATGGAAGTCTCCATCAGACTTTGGCTAACAAACGAGATAGTGTTCAGACACCAGAAAAATGAAGATCTTCACCATTATATGGCAGGGTAAACATTATCAGAATTAGGCCGAAAGCAAGGCACTGCAAAATTCTCGAAGAGTTTTAATCTGCATAACAACTGTAATCAAAAGGAGGAGGTGGGTAAGGAACCACTATGCAAAGTGATCTCACTGACAACATACACAGAGATTAAGATTGTTATTATTTTGTTATTGTAGTAATAGAAATTAAAGTCTAGCTCAGTGCATGTAGTGTATATGACTGGTACTGAAAAGATTCCATTCTGCCTTGATCACCTTCAGCCAGCAGTACATATAGCTGGCATGGCACCTGTTTATCACCCAGATTGGCAACCAGAAACCCTAGTTAGAGCCCACCCCCCAGAAGAGAGTCAGGCTACAAAGGTGGCAGCACTGGAAATAATGTCCACCATCCATTACTATGGTTAGGGGTGGCTGATACAACTTTTTGTTGCAGGAAAAACTTATACCAAAGTGTGTATGAGTATGACTTGCCTCTGTTCAACCCAGCTCCATGTCGCTTTGAGTTCATGTCTCGAGATGTTCCTGGACATCTCAACCCTTGGAAAGAAAGTTTTCACCAGTTGTACCGAGGTGTCCATGTTCGGCCAGGCTATCAGGACTTAACATTCCAAGGCCGCAACATTTCTTACTTCAACACGGTGCAGGGTGCCCTTGACTATGTAGATGAACGTGGAACAGTGGGCTCTGGATCCAGTGATGGAAGCAGTGGTCATAGTTCTCTGGTGTTTCTCCATGCTGGGACATACCGTGGCGAGTTTCTTGTAATAGACTCTGATGTTGCATTAATTGGGGCTGCCCCAGGCAATGTGGCAGAATCTGTTGTCTTGGAGAGGGAATCAGAGTCCACTGTTATGTTTGTTGAGGGAGCCAAGCAAGCGTATGCTGGTCATCTCACACTTAAGTTCTCTCCTGATGTAACATCCACCGTTCCACATCATAAACATTATTGCCTGGAAGTAGGAGAGCATTGTAGTCCCACAATAGACCATTGCATCATACGAAGTACATCAGTTGGTGAGTGTTATAAACATCTTAGATGTGTTAAACATGTATATATAGGACACTGTAAGATGGCTACCTTTTCAAAGAGTATTTTTGGTAATAATAATTGTATTATTTATCAGGTGAAACCCCACTGTATGTTTGCTATTCATTCTTGATACACAAAGTTAATAGAGAGTCCGTCGAGTGTAACAATTTGTAGGTCACTTTTTATTATTATTTCTGCCTTACATGTTTCGGTTTGACACAACCATCATCAGAGGCACTTGCTATAATTATGGAAACACTGTCGCTGTTTTTTGATGTTGATGATTATGTTTGTCGTGTGGACGCTGCTACGATATGTTGACGTGTAAAAGCACAAAACATGCTAAGATAGTTGAGTACACTCTCAAGTTCTCACTTTTCATCCGAACCTATTTTTAAGTTAAAACGCTAAAATGTTAAAATATTTGATATAAAATGCTGAACTCCTTGTTAATTCATCCCGAAGATGGGAGACGTCAGCTTGAGGTTGTATGGCTTATGGTTTGATATGTTCCTGTGTGCTGTGTGCTGTTTCAAATTTTGCATCATTTGTACAGGTTGCAACATTGAAGGAATATCTATGCAATAAGTTTCACTTGCTTCAACATTATCTCTCCTGACTGTCTCATTATTTATTAAACTTTCATTTGCCAGTGACAGAGACAGTTACGTACAGTAAGCGCTTAACAGCCAGAACTGTTGCAGCAGGTAACATCTGTTATGTATAAATAATACCCTGTAAAAGGTTTCCAAGAATTTAAAACTCAATAAATTGTGTGTCAGTATAGATGTAACAGTACTGAAAAGCTAACAGTTCTGGTGGTAAGTTTTCCCACATATCGTTGGATTGTTTGGGGTGTTGGGTCCGCTTCGATATAGTTGAAACTTACTCATAGTTAACAAGAAAGTGGAACATTTCTGGATTCAGAACTGATGTCCATATGATGATCAGTTAGAATTTACAGAATTCATAAATGGTATGTGTCTACTACGTGTTAATAGAAAGTAACACTCTTGTTTATTTGAAATTCTTGTAATACAGTAGAAGAATCCCAGTTAGTATCTGGATGTTGCTGTATGTTGTGTAACCTCATTTTGCTATTTTTGAAGTTTTGACTACTGCGAATGGTTATTGTAATACAGAAAACACATGGCAGTTTCTGAGTAATAAATTCGTAAGTACAGAGAAATTGAGGGAAGTGTCGTTGGGTTGTGTTCCAGTTCTGTAACAGGGCTCTGGAAATGTTGCCCACTTGCACCATAATTTAACAGACTAGTAATATGAAAATTTTAGTATAAAGAATACTGGTAACTTGCTTGTAAATGCATTGTCTTTAGTTGGTAGTAGATTTAGGGTAATTGTATTTCTGAAGTCCTGTTCTCCAAGTGGTTTAGTTTTTTGGGGTGGGGTGAGACTGAGTCCACTTGGTACATTGGCCTATTGTACCAGCCCTGGATGATAGATGATGATGAATGTGGAGCAGTCAGTAGAATGAGAATTGGCAGGGGAAACCAAAGTACTCAGAGAAAACCTGACCCAGTGCCAGTTTGTCCACCACAAATCCCTCATGACCTGACCTGGGCCGCCACAGTGCGAAGCCAACTGCTAACTGCTCAAGCTATAGCACGGCCCTTGTTCTCCAAGTAAGTGATGACTTCCATTTTGACAAACACATGTTCGAGGTGAGTGATGTGAGGTAGGAGTAAGTAAGGAAAGGTGAAGTAGATGTGAATGAATTGGGGGTGGTGTAACTTCAGTCTCAGAAGTCTCATTACAGAATTTTCTGAAGCCTTTGTGAGATCTGTGTTGTTAAAATAAAATTGGCAGTTGAAATATATATAGTAGTAGTGAACGGTGGGGCACGCGTTAGTGTACTTGGTTGAGACACTATGCTAGAAGCCGGAAGGTCACAGGTTCAAGTCCCGATGAGGTCATTGGATTTTTCAATTTACCTAATCCTTCCAGCCGCACTGTGGCCCTGGGGTCGACTCGGCCTTAACAGAAATGAGTACCAGGAATATTCTTTGAATCTTCTTGGGGGTAAAGGGCGGCCGGCGCGTAAGGCTGACAACCTTGCCGCTGTCTATGAGCCAATAGTCTAGAAAATGTTGGAACCTCAACATCTTACAACCCTGTCACGGCCTGTTACAGGGATGCCTTCTCTTATTTACTTACTTTAGTAGTGAACGGTAGATGAAAAGCATGTATCAAAGATTGTTTTTAATAGCAGGCTGCTGCTATCTAATTTTGTACTTGTTTCTTGACATGTTATGGAAGGTAGTTGTGAATGTATTTAATAATCGGTTGTGAACAGCTGACCAAAGATAATCTACCATCTTGGGGGTTGGGCAGGGAGCCAGCAGCCCCATATAAAAATTATAACACTGCAAAATACTACACAGGGACCTTGGACTTGGATGCATCTATTGCATTTTGGTGTCTCATCCTGAAAAGTGTTGATGACTATTTGGAACTTCGATTAGGATTATGAAATGAAGGAGGAAGGGATAGGTGGTGCATATAGCATATGTAAGAGATCTTAGTTGCTAAATCAGAAGGAAAAAGACCACTTGGGAGACTTCACCCCATAAATTTTAGAATAGAATATCAGAATCAGCCTTAAGTAGCTTGTTAGGGTATGGACTGGATTGATGTAACTGAAGCTGTGGCCTCTCAGGTTCCATAAAAGGCAGTGACTCTTAACTTCTCGAGAAGTACTGTTGTCTGTGAGGTTAGTTGGTAGATGCATAGTGACACTTTTTATTTTGCAGTTGGTGCGGCTGTGTGTGTAAGCGGTGTGGCAGCAAATCCAGTAGTGAGGCATTGTGACATAAGTGATTGTGAGAACGTGGGACTATATGTAACAGATTATGCCCAAGGCACTTATGAAGATAATGAGATAAGCCGCAATGCTCTGGCTGGAATCTGGGTCAAGAACTTTGCCAATCCAATTATGAGGAGGAATCATATTCATCATGGTAGAGATGTGGGAATCTTCACCTTTGATAATGGAATGGTGAGAAGTAGTTCTGTGTTATTTGCTAGTGACTGTTACCTAAAGCTTTGCCCTAATAATGTGACGCATCTGTTTTGAATTCTAATGAGGGCATGATAATGCTTGTGATTGTTTGGAATAATTTTGCCATGTCTCCATTAGATGTGAATTGTACAGATAGTTGTGTTGCCAAGAATTTGGCATTGAAATAGACATTAAATGGCCCAGACATGGGGTAGATAAGGTAGAACCGTCACATTTTCAGCTTAATACTTTTGGAACGTTGTTTTAACAGGGCTACTTTGAGGCTAATGACATTCATGACAACCGAATTGCTGGCTTTGAGGTGAAGGCAGGTGCCAATCCTACAGTTGTACATTGTGAGATTCATCATGGGCAGACAGGTGGTATCTATGTTCATGAAAATGGCTTGGGTCAATTCATCGACAACAAGATTCATTCTAATAATTTTGCTGGAGTATGGATCACATCAAACAGCAATCCCACCATTCGACGCAACGAGATATACAATGGCCATCAAGGCGGAGTGTATATATTTGGAGAGGGACGGGGACTTATCGAACATAATAATATTTATGGTAAGTAAAGTGTCTGGAGAATTAGTTGTGATTATTATACAGTATGTTCCGGAAAGTTCCTCGTGTCAGAATTGTGAATTTTATTTGTGCTTCAGGAAATGCATTGGCAGGAATCCAGATTAGAACAAATAGTGATCCTATTGTGCGCCATAACAAGATCCACCATGGTCAGCATGGTGGTATTTATGTACATGAGAAGGGTCAAGGTCTGATAGAGGAGAACGAAGTATATGCTAACACACTGGCTGGTGTGTGGATTACTACTGGTAGCACACCTGTGCTGCGGCGGAATCGGATCCATTCAGGGAAACAGGTTGGCGTATATTTCTATGACAATGGCCATGGCAGATTGGAAGATAATGACATCTTTAACCATCTGTACTCTGGTGTGCAAATAAGGTAACACATTGAGTAATGAGGGAACCTGTTCAGTTAATGTTTCATAATTATGATATGTGAATGTAAATTAATTACAGCTGTTTAAAAGTGGTATACATGAGCACTGGAACAAGTTGGTGGAATGTTGTGAAAGTTGCACTGGTAGTAAAAACTTAGATAAGCAGACATGAGGAATAAGTGTTTTGCTCCTTTTCTTCTTTTTATTTATATATTTGAAGGACTGTAAAGTAAGGAGGAGTCGATCACATATTTCCTCTTACATATAATCTACACATCCCTATTTGTGGGGAAGCAATTTTGGAAGAAAGAATTCAATATATTTTTACCTCTGCTTTTATCAGCAAATGAATCACAAATGAATGTGAGCACGGCTCCATTGCATTTCTTCAGCTTGTTGACCCATTTTTAGGTAAAATGGTACTGTTGATGAACGTGGACCTAACTGGAGTGTTACCAGTTTCTACTATAAATATATTTAGTTTCCCAGTTGAACCTGTGCCCCCATTTTATAACCATATATGAACAGATTGCCAATAAAGTATTTGTAATAATATTTAGATATATTGGTTAGTGTTGTAAAATGCATACCAGGTCATTATGTGTTAAATAAGAAATAAATTGTTAGTACAAGTTGCAAGTACTATAGATGTTACACGGTCATTCTTATACCATAAACTCCCTATTATCTGGTATACATGCATGTGGAATTCTCATGCAGCCAGCAAATATTCCAAAGAAAATTTACAATTTTTATAAAGGAACTTAAAATGGATGCTCATATTGTCATCCTCCTTGCTGGAGTGCTGTGCATTATTCTCCCTGATGCATGGGTCATTACATCAGAGACAACTGGAATTTCTTATTGCATTGCTATATATCTGAATTATTTTACCCATCAATCCATAATGCACTTCATTTTGACTGTCTCTTGTCATCGTATGTTTATTAGACTGTTCTGTATTGGTAAGAATTTTATGTACATAATTCAGTTATATATTTTAACATATGAATTATTAAAGTTAATAGGAAAAAAAGTGACACATTATAATGAACCCTTTATTGTGTACTTTCAGAACGGGCAGTAACCCAGTAATCAGAGGTAATAAAATTTGGGGTGGTCAGAATGGTGGTGTCTTGGTTTATAATGGTGGCTTGGGGGTGTTGGAGCAGAATGAGATCTTTGACAATGCAATGGCAGGAGTTTGGATCAAAACAGATTCTAATCCGACACTTAAACGAAACAAAATCTTTGATGGCCGGGATGGTGGTATATGTATCTTCAATGGTGGTAAAGGTATATGAAATGGTTTATTCTTCTGACATATTTTATATTTTATATAGACGGATGAATGGAAGTGTTGTGTCTTTTCTTTCTTCTTACAATCTTTTCATTTTGATTTTTGCCGGCTCTTTCATGTCTTCTTGGTGACCTCCATTACCTGACTGATTTATCTTGTTCCACATCATCCCATATATCTCTGTTCTTTACATTTTAATTCTGTTTTTTTTGGGGGGGTGACATCAATTCTGTATTTTCATCATCGTCAGTAATCTGTCAGACGACAGGTACACAGTCTCTTCCAAAACAATTCCTCTCTTACGTCTTCTTCCTCGTCTTCTTGTCACTTCTATCTGCCCCTCTATCTTTCCTTTAATAACTTCTTTTAGAAGGCAGTTTCTGCGTAAAACATGACCAATCCACTTAGCCTTCCGTTTTCTTATTTCGTGTAGGATATACCTCTGCACACTGACTCTATTATATTGCCAAATTAATTTGATAATCCCTTGTCAAAAAATCATTGAATTCCAACTTCTTGAAACATTTTGTTCTTAATCCCTTATTGTTCCTCTTTATAAGGATCCTCATTTTGGTATCAAATACAGTCAACTCTCGATTATCCGGGGGCGGATTAACCGGTTTGCAGCTTAACTGGGGCTACTGAGGCTTTTTTGAGGCTTATATGTTGTTTAATATTCATTCACTTTTGTTTCACATGGCGAGTTGTAACACTATTTTCGCACTAGTGTGAACCGAGCTCTGCATTCTTTGGTTCCATTATGCTAACACAATGTTCTAAGGTAGGGGTGAAAGAATGCAAGGATTTGTGGGAAGTTTCAAGGACAGATACATCGCCCCAGTTAGTATCTTTGTATCAATCTTCAAGTGCGTTAGCAAAATGTCAGGGTGTAAAAGGAAGCATGTTGTGTTAAGTATTCAACAGAAAAAGGAAAATGCCGCAAAAAAGAAAATGACAATATTAAATTTTTTTAAGTGTTAATATTCGTAAAAAGTGTTGGATGTTGTTGAAGACTGTGATTGAAATAACTAATTCATACTTCAGTGTAATGTAAAAAAAAGTATTAAATAGGCCATGAGATGACATAAAGTGAGGTTGAATAAATTTAAACGCAGGCAGGCCTATAGTATTATGAAGGTACAGTATTACAGTACTACTATTAATAAAATTTGTCTTAACCGGGTTTTCGATTAATCGTGATTTCCATCCCCACCATTAGCCCGGATAATCGAGAGTTGACTATATTAGTATTGGTTTAAAATATGCTTACATATTGTTATTTTGCAATATTGAAATATATTGTGACATGTAGACCCATTGCTAGGGAACAATCATAGTCCAGTCTGACTGGAGTGAGTTCTAGGCAATCATTTATTATGAGTTATTGTAATTTTTTTGTGATTAAGAGATTGTAAGGAAATGAGTGATAAATCCATTCCAATCGAAGTCCATCATTAGTCACACCTGTAAACACTTAACAATATGTTATGAGGGAAACCTTTGTTGTTACAGTTTATTTACTGTATATACCTTTCATACCACCATTGCTTAACAGATTCATATTCTTTTTCTAGGTGTTTTGGAAGAGAATGACATCTTCCGTAATGCACAGGCTGGAGTCCTTATATCTACTCAGAGTCACCCTATTCTCAGGCGGAACCGAATATTTGATGGACTAGCAGCAGGAGTAGAAATTACAAATAATGCCACTGCAACATTAGAAGAAAACCAGATATTTAATAATCGTTTTGGAGGACTTTGTCTTGCGAGTGGTGTTCGGCCTATTGATACTGGTAAGTGCTAAGTGCAAGCTCATTACAACAATATGTCTAGAGAGGCCTCTGTCCTTGCACATCAGCAACTTATTACCGTAAGATGGAGAATAAGAGATGATTAAATTATAAAATTCTATTACCATTGCCACATACATTTTATACCGTGTCCTCCACTACCTGAAATTGTCTTTTTAAACTAAATTATTTTTTTTTCTTTTTACATTTTGTATTTTAGCCATTCGATACATTTTTAAAACCTCCAGTGAAGCTGTGGCCCTTATGCCTCATGTCTTTCCCAATTCACTCATTGCTTTCTTATCTTGCTATCGAAAATGTTTTATGTGACTTAATAATCAGCATCATTGACCCACATAGGTTGTTCTACAACATAGCTGTGTGTCCTGTGTTACCTTCCTAGGAATAGTCTTGTATCTGTGTCCACCGTTTTGTATATATCTGCTTAGATTCTGTTCTTCTAGTGGTCATTTATTCAGCATCTTCACGTTTTATACTCTCACAGTGGGTACACATTTGCTGAACGAAGCAAGTGAATGAATATAATTTTGTATGCTAGTCTTGTTCTGTATGCTTTACGCACTACATTGAGAATTACTCTCTCTTAGGGTTCAGTTCTCTTCATCATTTCTACTGAATAACATAGGAGCACATAGCAACAAAAGTTGTTTATCGCCACATTTGAACATGAATTCACTCTGATGTAAAGCTCTGACAGGAAACCAAAGTGAAAGCATACAGGTGCATTCGTTTACTTTTAATTTAAGCGACCTCCATAGTCTAGGGGTTCCCATCTCATGACTCAAGGTTCAAACTTTCATGTCAGCAATGAAAGGGATACAATCACTGTCACTTCCATAAGGTTGCATCAGAAGTGTGGGATTATAAAAGCAAACATTGGTGGATGGTTGGTTCTTGTTTGACCCGTTTTATCTAGGATTTACTGTGTTTAATAACTTAAATTGTCTTATCACTAGATAACAAGATTTTTAGTAATCAAGATGCAGTAGAGAAGGCAGTTGCCAATGGTCAGTGTTTATACAAGATCTCCAGCTACACTTCATTTCCAATGCACGACTTTTATCGATGTCAGACATGCAACACAACAGATCGCAATGCCATTTGTGTCAATTGCATTAAAACGTGCCATGCTGGACATGAAGTTGATTTCATCAGGCATGACAGGTATGTTCAGGTTCTTTGTAAGTTTGTTTAATTCTGTTCAGTCTAAGAGTCATTTAAAATCTTTTTTTTTTTACTTTCTGTTGTAACTGAAGAATTACTCCAATGAGAAATGATCAGATAATCTACAGTTCAGATTTGCCAAGCCTAATAATAGGAAGCTTTGGGGGCAGGGTCCATTAAACTAACAATATCATAAGAGGTCAAACAGTTCCGTCCAGTGTGACTAGTAAAGATTTTCTTATTCCTGTCACTCGTTTTTGGCTAAATTAAATTGCCATTTAGAATGCTGAAAAATGCATAGTGTCATAAAATAGTTGTTTAATACTTTCTTAAGCTAGAAATTCAAAATAAAAAACTAGGTCATTAAGAATGAATCCATTTGTGTGTATACAGAATTTTGAAATAACCAGCCTACGTATACAAAGTTTAGGTTATGGCGATTTACAGTTATTTTCACACATTTCAGTCTCTGTTTTTTCTTCTTCAAGTAAAGTAATAATAATAATAGATTTTGTACAAAAGACATAGAAAACAGCTGTTAACTTACATAGCTTTGTATAGCAAGTGTCACGTAACTTCAAACAAGGCCAAGAGTGCCAAGAGTAACCTTGAATGCGCAGAAGAAAAATTTCAGACAAGGGGTGGGTTGCAGGAATGCGGGGAATGTGTGGCCTTCTTCGAAGTTACGTGACACTGTCTCTACTGTATCTGTGTTAATGAAACATTCTGGTTCCACCGTGCCATGTGTTGATTCTCCGGTCATCCTAAACACAGAAGGGTCAGAGTCTTAACAGTGAGTTGACTATAACGGGAAAGAGTGTAAGGAATTAGAAAAATCTGATGTGATGTGAATTCATAAATTGTATCTGATAAGGAAACACCATGTGAACTCCCACATGCATCTCTTTGGGAGTTTCCATTGTCATATTTTCTAATAAAGCCTGAAATTTCAATAGTTTTTTAGATTGTTGTTTTTTTTTTATTGTCTTCGTACTTCCTTGGTTGGAGGTCTTCTACCAACTGTGACACTTACCGTAAGAACAGAGGTTAAATATTGTACATAAGAAATTTCAGACAACTAAACTTTAACAGAAGCAGAGTTATATTGGAATGTTATTATCACATGTCTGAATGTTTTGAATTACCGATAGGATTACTGTGGATTCATAATTATTAATTTATTTTAGGTTCTTTTGTGACTGTGGTGCTGGCACATTGACAAACCAGTGTCAGCTTCAGGGCGAGCCAACGCAAGACACAGATACTCTATATGACTCAGCAGCTCCAATGGAATCACATACCCTCATGGTCAATTAAGTTATACTGACAGGCAGCAAGGTGAATCTGTGTACTGCCTACATTAGTGCATGTACCAGTGGTATTCTGCGACAGGGAAGAACATTGTTCCTAGACCACTTGTGCACAGATGTGAGGAGGCCTAATTGTCTCGAATTACATTAACCTCCCACAAAGTATGGCCTATACATGCAATGTGCTTAAATCTTGGTGATCAAAGAGACGAGATCCTAATTAATTGAATCTCCTTATTTCTTTTTTTATTATTTCTTTTGGATTGAAACATGTACACATTAATGGTCTAGAATGTGTTGCGAAAAATTCTTAACAAGCGATTTTTTTTGTCTGTATGTGTTGTCTGAGTAATTGAATGAATGTGCTATGTGTGTGTATTGGTATGCATGCCTATGTATGATGATACTGTAAATATATATAAATATATGTGTGTTTACTATAACCAGTAGAAAAATTGCAAAGTTAAAATATTCAGTTTATCCTGTGCTGCGAATGTTGGAGATGGATAAGTGAAACCAGCAGGTGTTCAACATGTATATTGTTCCAGCGATGCCAGAGAAAACATGATCTGGAGTTCTTGCCAAATCAAAATGGTATGCAGCTATAGTATTCCATGCCATGTTTCTTGGGGTTGTTTTTACGTTTCTATTCCATTCGCCTTTTTTATATATATATATATCCTGTAGTAGAATGTCTATTAATACGATTACTGCCCTCGTGCTTTATATATAATACCATATGAAATCAAATTTAAATGTGGAAGTTCAAATCCTTTGTGTGTGGGTCATTAAAAATGATCGAACATTGAGCCAAACTGTAACATTTGCATTATGCATATCCTTGAATCAGATTTTATGTGTGACTGAGTAATATTGTCAAGCTTATAAAGCTGGAGTTACCCAGCTTTTTAAAGATCTGATTTGCCACAAAAGACTGTTGCTTTATTTGATGTTCCCCTCGCTATGTAAATAGACTTTAATGTGTTTGTGCTGTTTTTGAGCAGAAATTTCTAAGTGTAAACTTCATGCTATGTCGTATATTTTCATTGTATTTTTGAAGCATATTAATGTTAGTGTATCTACGAATTTTTAGTTAAAGAAAGTACACTAACATTTTCGAAATGAAGTATATATATATATATATGAATATATGTTTTGAGTTGTCTTTTGTACAAAATCGAGAAGAAAACTTACTGACTGTAATCATGAGTCTGGGAAGTGTACCAATCACACAGAGTTGTTAAGTTTGTGCTCTGTGTTGTAATTATTACCATCACAAATCCTGGAAAATGAAATGAAACGGTTTTGAAGTAACAGAACTAAAGCATAGTCCGTCTAGTTTCCAAGTGCTGTAGAGATGGATGAGAAGCAGATGTAAATCTTATACTGACATTAAAACTACCTTCTCCAAGTGCCATACGAATGTTTCTAAAACATGGTTCAGTATTGAGTGTAATGAATGCATTGCTTTTCCACAACAAAACCAGTGCTTCTTGGACAAACAGCTGTGTGGGATGGAAGACATGCAGAACCATAAGGAGAGGACGAGGCATTGTTCAACAGAGCAGACTTGTTATGCTAGTGAATTATGCTCTGGGTTCTCTTCCATATGTCAGTTGTTTGTTGTGTTTGACATATTTTGATTTCTAGTTAGTTGTATGTAACATTCTTCCATTTTACTTCCTTCTCCCCAAACAATCACTTTAAAATCTGCCAAGTACTGTAAATGATACTGCGCTTCTTTACAACATTATTCAGCTGTGGTAGTGGTAGGCATTGTCTTTGACAGAAGCATCAGATTTGTGAGTTTAATTCATGTACCACAAACTTGTAGTTATGCACTTGTGCTGTAAACATATTAGAAATATACACAAGTATAAAATACCATAGCGCATGATTGATTTTATTGTTTCACATTTCACTGATATGGTGGAATAACATAAATTGTGTTAAGCTTTTGACAGGAACCATAAGTGTGAACATAAGAGGTTCTTTGTTTGGTAGTAATTATGACAGCATGAAAATAAAACCAGGTGTCTCTTTTCCAACAGACATTAATGTCTCTACAAAAGATGTCACCATTCATGCCTCAATGACAATATATGTCATAAAGCTGAATTCAGCATCTCTTATGTTTTTACCATTGTAATGTTTACATGTGTATTGTCAGATGTACGTTTTCATGATGATATAAAAATGAAAGTGCATTTTTTTGGTAAATAGCCGGTTCCTTAAACAGGATACTTCATACCAGAATAATGATATTATCAAATGATATGGTTTGACTACTGATGGGTTTTGGATTGTTGACTGAATTATTGCACACTTTGTAGTTCACTATTACATATGCACTAGTGTCCACAGTCACGTCTTCACTGCTGTTGCTTGGAAATGGCTTCCAACAGTGGATGTTCCCCTCCCTCTGGGTTCCCAAACAGTTCCTGACCTCAGCTACCAGCTTCTAACAGCAACAACACACAACAGCTGAACCTCAGCAGTTCTCTGGCTGACTGAAACTGCTAAATGGTCCTGGTTATAACATCTCAGCATGTGCCGCATAGAAAATGACTGTTCCATTATTCCTGTGTTCTCTCATTGCCATGGAAACGTGCTTGTTTGTGGAGCTGTTACTTAGCAATGGCTGTTGTATAGCTGTTTCGCGGTTGTTGCTTAGCAACGGGTGTACATGCCACAATATATAATTCATGTGACGTGAATTTTTGTTCTTTAAGCAGCATATGACATTGTTAAGTGGGATGGTTTTGATCTGATCTGAGCACAGACATACATGCATTAAGATACAAATCAGTGTTCATTAAACACAGAAACACTGTACTTTATAACCAGACATCTGTGTTAACCACTGAGCAAGTTGGTCTAATTGGTATTGCATCTGACTTGTAAGTGACAGCTAATTGGTTTGAATCTTGACAGTTTTTTGTGGTTTTTCCTGAGCCCTTCCTGGCAAGTGCCAGGAGAGTACCTCAGTGTGGTCATGATGGTTTCTTTCCTCATCCTTTCAAATTCATAAGTCATTATACCATTTGATACCATATAGTGTGAGATGCTAAACCACAGTTACACAAATATATGCAATCAGCGAATTCCATTATTTCTTAAGGCAGATTTGTCCCACAATACAGAACGATGTGACAGACGCATAAGCACATCAAAGGGACCTGCATATATATTAACAAAAGACATCAGGTTCCTCATCAAAAAGATTTTAACACCTGATAATGACTGTATTGGCTGAAATATAGTGAACTTTGAAACTTGCGTTTTGTGGAACGTGTTGCATGTAATACTGTGAATAATATATGTTAAGTGAAAAGTGCAACAGGATGCTACAGTATAATAATGTGATGATACTTTCATTGCCTCAAAATGCAAAATGATAATGAATTCATTCAAAGAATATTTGCCAATGAAATTGGCTTCTTACAGGCAGACACTAAAATGTGTAATACAACGAAATCCAAAAGATGTAACAGTTTTATCAGTTATGCAAAGGAAATTTGCCCTACAGGGAAATCATTCCTGTTAAAAACATCAAGAAACCTGACTGAAAGATGGGACTTCATGTTACTGCTCACAGTAAAAATGAAAAAGGCCTCTAATCAATGTAATTCATGCATGAAGACTGAAAATATCCTTGATAGAGTGACAGTTCTTAGGTCAAAGTGTGAAAAATTACAGATGACTGTAGGTCCCATCTGCAACTGCCCACTGTGTGTTGGCGAAGAGCAAATATTTTCACCATTGCCACCAAGGAAGATATCAGAAATGTCAGAAAACAGTAACTGTAAGCAGAAGAAGAAAATTGGCTAGACACACCTTAACTCTTGCTTTTACATACATTTAAAAAAGAAAAGTTTTGTGTAGGATATCAGCAGTCTGTGGAAGTGCATGAGGAAACAATAACAAAGAAAATTCGAAATATGCTTACAGATTTTTTTTATTAAATTTTTTACATCCGTTGATCCATACTGGTACAACCATTGGATATAGAAAAGTAAAAAAAACGAATACAAGACAGTACAATGTTCATAATAATAATAATAAAACATGCAATCATTAAAAGGTTTTGTAAAAATAATCAGAGTTTGGATGTAAATTAACGATAAATTTACCCTTCTTTAAGCACCATACCACGAAAAAGGGGGGAAGCGGACGTTAAGCTTAACCACAGTGCTGCACGAAACTCGGCAGTCGGTTCCATATCCCGGCTGCTTTATTACTTACCCATAGATAACAACTGGTACCAATTCAACTAGAGAGATAAGAGACTGGGTGGGTTCTAGAACCAGTGTGGGCGTTGTGAATGAAAAGAGCTCTGCTTCTGTATTTCTATATCAATCAAGCCCAGTCATTCAGCCTATACCGGTCCACTTCTAACAATTTACTGACTGAGCTATGAGCTCTTCTGGAAGTAGTCTTGAGTGTTTTGCAGAAAACCTGTGTGGTTACTATTCCCAGTTTCTTCTGTCCCTTCTAACATATCCAACCGCAGTGGCTGGAACTGCTCATTTTAACTATCTTTGATATAGTACTTTTATTTTTCTGTCTTCTTTTTGTTTATCAGTGTAATGAAAAGCCCTCTTGTTGTTTTGTTTATTATTATTATTATTATTATTATTATATACAGTTTTATCCAACATTCTTCTCTTGAGGTTACGCATTGTCCCGCGAAAAGTCACGTTAAAATACGCACTTACGCGCCTTATTTATGCGAAGTTCATATGTAGAGAAGGCCATGACCGGCCATGACACGAAGTCTGCTGTGATCGCCATAATAGTTTGGAGGCGTGAGGGAGCAAAATGTTGAGCATATATACACATTTAGTAATTTTTATTTATTTCATATATTACTGAAGTGTATGTGCATATTTATTTAGAACACATTCCTGTTGCCATTATTAGTGTTACTCGAAAATTTAATTCAATGTTATTGGTTCCACCTCGGCGCGCAAAATTCGAATCGCCGAACGTGATTTTGAAGTGTAACTTGTTATTCCGTCTCCATGAATTTCAGCACCGAATTAACAACTCTACCAAAATCACAAGTCAAGACTACAGCAGAGGTATGTAAGAACATATGCACATTATTATATATTGATTTCTTGCAAATAAAGAACAGTAATCACCGTTCCCACCTTCCCACATTTGAGTAACATAGGACATTTTAATAACTCCCTCTTCACTTTAGAAGTTGACACAAAATTATACTTTTAAATCCACAGTTAACATTGCGTCTAACATGCCATGTAAATATCTAGCATGAAGCATGATTTAGTACTAGACAATTTAAAATAATTCTCAAGTGCTCAATCCTATTGTAGGAATTATGCCCACAAATTTTGTAAGAAATCAAAATTAGAGTGTTCTGGGCTGTAACACTATCAAGTTTAATAGGAACTAACATTTTGAAGAAACTAGCAGCTTTATCAGCATAGATATACGATGAAGATTGAGGCAACATATGTCTCCAACACTTTGGTACATAGCTACCAAACTTCACGGCATTACATTCCAAAATGAGTATGCTGAACACCATGCTAAATAAAAAATAGCTGTTGATAATACCTTCTTACATGACAGAAGTTCTTAATGTGTAACATTTTGCTCAAATTAAGGAGGATGAGATGAGCAGGGCATGTATCATACATGGGTTTCTTTGTAGTTTATTTAATGATATGTCAGTAACACAGACTGTATAATGTTGATGATAGTGAATAATAATGAATTGAAAAGAATGTGGAAGGAAGTGGTGATGGCCTAATTTATAGTACTGTTCAGGTATTTGCCTGGAGAAACTGAGGAAAACCACTAAAATCCTCAGTCAGGATAATTGGGGTCATGGCCAAGATTTAAACCAAACACCTCCTGAATACTAGTTAACCATTATTGCCTGAGCCAATTCACTCAGTAAGACAGGTAAAGTACAAGTTGTCCTTGTGCTAACTAATTAAGCACTATGCCATGAAGGCGTGGGGGGGAATAGATGTATAGATCCACATTTTCTTGACCTGGACACTAGTTGGTGAGTGGTCAGCTTCACGCCCCAGCTGCTTTACCCATGGGGAAAGAGCCTCCAGTACTCATTTGATAGGAGGCAAGGTGGGCCCCAGAGCTGATTTGGATGATGCGGAGAAGAGAAAATTCTTGACCCTACCAGGACTTGAACTCTGACCTCTCGGTTGTCCAGCCTGTACCCACTTGCTATACCAACTACACTATCCCAGCTCCCTCGCTCAGTAAGCCTGGAGAGGAGAGAAATTCATATGACATTTTGGTAGGAAAACCCTAAGGAAAGAGACCACCTGTAAGACCTGGTCATGGATGGTATGATAGTAATGAAATGGATCTTAAAGAAATAGAATGGGAGGGTATAGGCTGAATTCATTAGGTTGAAGATGGGAACCAGTGACAGGTTCATGTGAACATAGTAATGAACCTTAAGTTTCCATACATAAAGTGATGGAAATTTGACAAGCCAAGAATTATTAACTCATAAAGAAGAAGTCTGCTCCATGGACTTTGTTAATTATATGAAACTAGCATTGTAAGTATGCTCTATTTTAATGCGTAACAACAATAAATGGATAACAGTCATTTATGAGCATGGGGGTGGTAGTGGTTATTAATGGGTGGAAAACAATGCTGATATTATAGCTTCATTGAAGCTGATAAAAGAAGAAGAATACTGTTCTGGGAAGCGATACCATGTAAAGTGGTAGAAGTTTACTGACATTTTAGAGGAATGTAGCATACGGAAAAGTAACTCAAGCAAACAGTAAGCAGCACACAGAGTCCCACTGTTACTTGTTTGGCTTAAGTTGGAGACTGTTCCTTCAGAACATCAGTAACTTTTACCAAACTATATGGTGTCATACCCAAGAAGATAATAGTCTTCATAACACTGTGAGAACCTCAAATCCAACATGATGGAGGAATATTTTTGCCAGTATTTGGAATTGATATACTGAACAATGAAATGTTATGTTAAAACAAGAATTCTCGTTCCTAAAATGCCATAAAGAGGAGATAACTGATGCATCCCATCCTTGAATGAGTGCTACAGTTTGAACATGATACAGTTTAATGCATCCTGGAGAACCATTGATGAGGAAAAGTAAATGTGTCCTGTCAGTTTATATACGAGTATACTCACTTGGAGTATGTTTAGAGTTGAGTTGCCTGGTATTGTGGCTAACTTAACCTACAGAGTAAGGAAAGGTCCAACCTACCAGAAATTCATTAATGTAATGAAATATATGAAGTCTTGAAATATGAGTTTATTATAATTTTTTCAATATAACTGACTCTATTTTATGTATGTTAAATTCATGACAGTACTCAAAGATAACTTATTGAATTACAAGAATGGCAGTTCACAAACTGATTATGCTGGAAATGTTGCAGATAATTGTTCAAGCTGGACAAAATCTAGATAGCTGCTGGAATTTCTAATTTATGAGAATGGGAGTTTACAAACTAATTATGCTGGGCGGATAATTGTTCAAGTTGGACAAAATCTAGTGAGTCCCTGGAATTACTGTATCTTCTTACCTCAGTTTGATGAAGTTTATTTTTTCAGGCATTTTCTTTTCATAATATAGGAAAATATTCCGAAATTAGGATAAGTTGATATTGGGAGAGTAATATGAAGTAAAGCAAGTGTCACGTAACTTCGAACAAGGCCAAGAGTAACCTCGAATGCCCCTTGTCTGAAATTTTTCTTCTGCGCATTCAAGGTTACTCTTGGCCTTGTTCGAAGTTACATGACACTTGCTATACCAACAAGAGGGCATGAATTCTATACACACACTTCATTTTTTAGGTACAGATTTTAATATAACTTCCACGTCATACTGGTCTGAACTTGCAACAGTGTTGTAGATACAACAAATTAAAAGTAATTTCTGTTGTGTGACTGAACATAAGAATCTGTCAAGATTGAAAATGGTATAAATGAACAAAGAAAGCATGATTCCCAATTCTAGTCCATAATCTTCTTCATCGCATCATGAATGGTTTAGTAATGACCTCTTCTGCTTCCTTCTGATGCAGCTGTCCAATTCCAACAGCAGGAGTTGCAAGTGGTCCTCGACCTGCATACTTTAACTGGAAGACAGTGACAAAATAATATTCATTCATTCTACATATAAATTAAAAATATTAACTGGTTACTTGAAATTCATGATTATATTACTGATACTTTTTATTGTCCTGCTCACCAGTGGTGTCAACACAAAAGATATTATTTCATCCAAATGACATTCTGTTGAAAAAGTCATGAAACTGTTGGAATCTAGAACTGGGGGCCATGGCGATGACAACAGACAACAACAAATGTACTGAATCTGTACAGCAGTGATCATCGTTTGAATATTATCTTACTTATTTTTCTTTCTTTCTCTATTTAAATACCATTTTCAATGGCATAGGTTATGTAGCATTAAATGAAAAATTAAATGGTAAATATGAATGGTAATTTGGTAAGGAAGTGGAAAGAAATGATTGTGGCCTCCATAGAGGTGCTAACACAGTATTTTTGTCACAGAGACAGAATCAAATCATGACAGCATACAGTAGGATAGCTAATCTCCAGTTAAGATTAGAACATAATGCTAGTACTTACTCTTCGTCCAATTAGATTCTCAAATCGTGGTCGTATGTAACTCCACGCTCCCATGTTTTGATGTTCCTCTTGACTCCAGATAAATACTGGAAGCAAACAACCTTGTGCTTATAACTTCAGTATCATACTAGAACACTGTGATTATTATTAGAGGGGGTGGGTTTCCCCATGCACTTAGACCAGTTATTGGTCCATTGTGCGTCCCCCTTTAATTTCTACTGTCGCCATACCCTACTGGTACTGGTGCGTGCTATCAGCCCCATTCAGCCAATGAGGTCAGCCCTCGGTACATGATACTTCCCCCATCTACAAGAGGCATTGAAAACTACTTGGACGGGAAACTTGCCTAATTTTGCTCAGAGGTC